ATATTCATAATTTTATTGATTTATTTCATCTACCAAAATTTATATACAGCTTGGTTGTAAAAAAATATATAAACAAGCCTCTAGGCAATTTGCAACAATATGAAATAAAACATTAAAGTTATTGATTAAAACAGGTTTTAATAAACTTTTAGATATTATTAATATCGACAGTGGCTAAAAACAATAACAAAGCAGCAACAAAGGCAACAATAACCCACCATGTATCCTTTACATGTCTGGATGGGCTTGCCTTAAAACAATGTTTTAGGTGCTGAATAAAACACTGTGAAGGAACCTGCCAGGTATCAATAGGCAGGGAGTTCCAAAGTGCAAGTGCTAAAAGATTGGTTTCTTACACCTGAGGAAAAAATATTATGCGCCACCTGTAACAGTAATAATTTTGGGTTTTGTCCAACTAAGTCTAACGCTGTGGCCCATTTAAATTAATGGACATAAGTTAGCCACGGTCCATAAACTTCAGTGTGCTTACTCTGAGTAAGATCAAAATTGAATACAGCCCCTTGTTAGGAATGATTCCCAAAGTCTTCATTCCTTATGGGTAGCATTTTTTAATATGCATTGAGAAATCCAATTCCCCCCACCGCGTTGTCTTTTCAAAGGCTTACAGAGCTTAGCTGGGAGGCAAATTTGCAGTTGGTCACCCAGAGTTCCCCTTTGCCGACTCAAACAATAAGCTTGAAGGTAAGCCTTGCAGTTAATTAAATATGCTAATTAACCAGCAGCCCTTCATCGCGTCCATTATTACGGGGAAAGGCGGGGTTCTCCAGAATCGCACAGCGTAGCTATGCAGTTGTGAACGCACAAGCCTCCTGGTGTGTTGATGTCTCGGGAAGTGGCATGCGAGAAGGATCCCCCATAGCACACAGGGCGTGGCAGAGTTCCACACAACACATTCAGCCAAGCCAGAGGAAGGACTGAATGCTATGGCAGTGAGAGCCCATCTCCATGCTTTAGCTCTAGGCTATAAAAGACAGCAAATATACATAGGGTGATATATACTTCCCTTAAAAGAGTCGAACCTGTAGAAAAATGCTTTGTATCCTTTTCATATAACAGGCCCAATATTGTCTTAATAATAATAATAATAATAATAATAATAATAATAATTTATTATTTATACCCCGCCCATCTGGCTGGGCTTCCCCAGCCACTCTGGGCGGCTTCCAACAAAATATTAAAATACCGTAATACATCAAACATCAAAAGCTTCCCTAAACAGGGCTGCCTTCAGATGTCTTCTAAAAGTCTGGTAGTTGTTGTTCTCTTTGACATCTGGTGGGAGGGCGTTCCACAGGGCGGGTGCCACTACCGAGAAGGCCCTCTGTCTGGTTCCCTGTAACTTGGCTTCTCGCAGTGAGGGAACTGCCAGAAGGCCCTCGGCGCTGGACCTCAGTGTCCGGGTAGAACAATGGGGGTGGAGACGCTCCTTCATCATCATCATCATCATCATCATCATCATTTGGCTTTTTAAATTAAAATTTTACAGAGATATATCAAACATAAATCATAAAAAATCAAGATTCCAAGGAATCTCCTGGATTTCCATCCACCCCTTTGTGGGTCCTGTTTTTTATCATTTCTTTCTGCATCTTTTATGATAGCCCAAAATCTTTTCCATCTCCATTGTATCCAGAATTCACCCTTAAACTACAAGTGATATTCCAATCCTACTAACGGTTTTAACTGTTTGCAATGGTCTTTAAGATAAGTTATAATTTTTTCCCATTCCTTATTAAAATTTTGGTCTTCTTGATTTCTGATTCTTCCCATCATTTTAGCCATTTCAGCATAGTCCATCAACTTCATCTGCCATTCTTCTCTGGTGGTGACTTTGTCCTCTTTCCATCTCTGGGCCAATAACATCCACGCAGCCGTGGTCGCATACATAAATAGTCTTTTCTGCTCCCTTGGGATTTCAGCACCAGGCCCAGTATTGTCTACACTGACTGGCAGCAGCTCGCCAATGTTTCTTTCACAGCACTACCTGGCTGCAGACTTTTAGCCTTTGGCTAAAGTCTCCAATTTAAGTGCTCTAAACAAATACCTTGTTAAGTGAAGGATCCTTCAGAAGTACAACTAACTGGCTCCCCCTTCAGACTTCGCTGGTTGGGACAGTGCCAGATGAGCAGGCACAATGTCAGGAGTGGTGCCCCACTCACTGCAAGCAGATTAAGGTTTTGCACATGGAATAACTCTCAGAAGGCACCACAATAGTGTGTGTGTGTGTGTGTGTGTGTGTGTGTGTGTGTATCAGGGAAAAGAAACTCAATTTAACATCCTACTGGGACATCTTAGGTAACTTCCTCTCATTTCCAGGCCCCCAGTTATTGAGTATTTAATATTTACATTGCAATCACGAAGAGGACAATATTCTTTAAAACCTCTATTTATATGCAAGTGCAATTAGCTTTCATATGCTCTTTTTTAATAAAAATAATAATAATAACTTCAGCAGCCAGGCCTTGGATATCCTTTGCTTCATTTCACATACTTAATATTCATAACAGGAAGCACAGTAGTAGTTTTAAAAATTAAAAAACAACAACAACAGGTGCCATAGTGGTGCAGATGAAGAGGGGAGCAGGGGCCAGTGGGGTGTTCATGGATGCAGAAAAACAAACCTAGGCATTGCTCTCAAAAGATTTCCAGCCTAAGGGGGAGATTGGCAGATTACAGAGCCTCTGTTGCACATTAAAGAGAGATGGTTTGAATTGTGGATGGGCTTAAAGCAGTCTTCCCCAACCAACCTCCCTCCCTGGCCATTGCGACAGTATCTTGAGGGCCCCAGGGTTCTCCAGCCTTGCTCAATCCAGATTGAGTGCCTGCCAGATCTTTTGGACTACTGCCTCTATCCGCCCCAGCCAGCGCAAGCATCCGGAGGGTGCCTGGTTGCCTAAGGCTGATGCAAAATAATGAAATATGTGAGGTTTCATTGGTAGCTCAATAAAGAAGAGGCTAGCTGATGGATAAGGCCAGGGCCCATCTAGTCCAACATCCTATTCTCACCGTGGCCAACCAGATACCTGTAGGAAGCTCACAAGCAGGACCTGGGTGCAACAAGAACTCTCCCAGCCTGCAGCTCCCAGCAACTGAAATTCAGAAGCAAATTGCCTTCAACAGTAGAGGTAGAACACAGCTATTGCGGCTAGTAGCCATCAATAGCCCTCCCCTCCTCCATGAATTTGTCTCATCCTCTTTCAAAGCATCCCAGTCGGAGGCCATCACTACATCTTGTGGGAGTGAACGTCATCATTCAACAATGCTTTTTAATTACTCCTGGATTAAAACCCAGAAGCAGGCTTTCAAAGGACACAGCACGAAAAAAGAAAACAACAGCAATCAACCTAACAGAGAAGAGAGGAAGGAAGTTTGCAAAGTCTGGGGCGACATATCCCAGTGGCAGTCAGGGGTATAAATATACTGAGCTAAGAGTGTGTCTGCTGAAGAGAAGAGCGCTAACCTTCAAAGGGGGGAGTGGTTCTGAACACAAGAGCCACACTGCATTCTCCAAAAGCACTTGGGAACACATGGAAGTTTAGGCATGGATCTGCACAGAAGGGTATCTCTGTCCCAAGGGGGAAAGCATATGTGTTTTGTTGCAGGCAGATATCACAATCAGGCAGCCCACTGAAAAATGTTATTATCAGATCTTGGGGTGAAGAAGAGGTCCCTGAATAGACAGGCAGCAACACCAATAGGGCAGCAAACAAAGCAGTATCCAGGGCCCATCCAAGATCAGAGTCCAAGTAAGCAGAGTCCAGGTTAGAGTCAAAGTCAGAGCAGTCCATGGTTGGGTTGTGCACAGAAGTGATACAGAGACTTTGTTTCAACAACTCTTCCAGCTCTGCCCTGGGGTTTTTTATGTGGATCTACTAAAGCCACAACCCAACTCCTGTCAACTCCCTTCTCTCCAGAGGTCTCCTTAAGAGGAAGGCCCTACTCCCAATGAGTCCTTACCTGTAGCTGCACATTCCTCTGGCTAGGCCGAATTCCCATCCACCCTTCCCTTGGGCTTGGGACCAATTCTGTCTCAATGAATGAATCTTTACAGTGGTACCTCGGGTTACATGTGCTTCAGGTTACAGACACTTTAGGCTACAGACTCCGCTAACCCAGAAATAGTACCTTGGGTTAAGAACCTTGCTTCAGGATGAGAACAAAAATCATGCTCCGGCTGTGCGGCGGCAGCGGAAGGCCCCATTAGCTAAAGTGGTGCTTCAGGTTAAGAACCGTTTCAGGTTAAGAACGGACCTCCAGAACCAATTAAGTTCTTAACCCGAGGTACCACTGTATTTGCATCAGCCATAGGCCATAGCAACAAAAGAACATTGCAATATACACAGAACAGAAATAAAAAGTTGATTATATAAAACACAGTTTAGGGTCCTGAATCAGCAAATGGTGGATCTTATTCTGATTGCCCCAGCTAAAAACCTTGCAACCTTTGCTGCCACCTGCTCATCTTGATCTGCCAAGAGAAAGGACACTGTGGCAGTGGTTGGGTGACCCAAAATGGACAATAAGAGAGGGATGATAATCTCATTCCTCAAGTCTTTATAAAGAGTGCAAGCCAGAAGGGCACGCGCCACCGATTCGGTACTGCCATCTCCACAGGGACAAAAGCGTTTTTCATGTGGAATCTGTTGGAATCATCCCTCAAGTATAATACATTCAATCTTGCGAGAGTAAAAGCACGTCTATATTTTGGAATTGCTAGGTTATGCAGATAGGATGCCAGAGAATCAAAATGGGAAGGCATGCCTTTCTCTGATGTCATTACAGATAAGGAGTGAGCTGTACATAGCAAATAAGCGAAGGGGAAATGGCTGCCACCATTGTGAGGCCTGAGGAGGTGATGATGATGATGCCTCTCCAGCTGCTGTTATTGGCTGTGGACACCCTGTGATGTCACATAAGCACATGGCAGCTCAGTGGATATACAAAAGCGGCCCAAGGGGAAAGCCCAAAGCAAAGCTTAAAAAGGACACAGGGGACAACAGTTGTGTTATTCAGTACTTGGTGATCTCCTTCTGCATGGAGGCAAAGTGTCAAATGGCAGGAGGCCATCATCTGTCAATGAGATGCTGTGGAGCAATGAGAAGGCAAGTGTACCTGCTGAGCAGGACTGCAGCTTGAAAGCAGCAGATATCCATGGTTGGAAGCCAGTGATGGACCTGGCAGAAGCTGTGATTAGCATGTGGAAGCCAGGGGTGCCACAGGGCTGAAGGAGGCTGAAGTTTGTGCACGTAAGCTGATTGAAATTCACCTTCAGAAGGCCACTGACAAAAGCTGTGTGGATATTCGTGGGCTGATGCTGGGGTAAGTATGGAGAGTGGACATAGGTCACATCCCAGACAAGGTACGCCTGGGAATTGCATGTTCAGATAGGGGTGTCGGCTGCCCTTCAGGCTCTGGGCGAATGAACCACTGGATATTCATGGGTGGGAGCCAACGGAGCCAGCAGATATGGCTGTTTCTGCATATATATTTTTAATAGTACTTATATAAAATATATTAGTTTGCTGGCAGTTGTGCAGAGCATTTTGCATGAATAAATGTCAACCTGTACTGGTTATTGGAGCTGCATTTGAGAAAACAGCTATGAAATTGTTTTTAGAAGATTTAAGCAAAGATCTGAGAGTTTCCTTTCTCGCTTTGGAATTTTGCTGAGCTTTTAGATGTGTAATTTCCTAAATGCCTGCATTGTTTTATGTTGCTTTGATTCTGCTTCGATGTCTGAGGCTGAACTCACCCTGGGTGCAGTTGGCCCCTACTTAGCCTCGTTGCAGGATCCCAGCTTCTCACTTGCAGATGGAGCCTGAACCAAGGTAAGGCCAGAGCCTCCTGGACCCCCACTCCCCAGCTGAGACCTGGCAGGAAGCAGCAGCTAGTTCTGCAGGTGGTTGCACAAGGAAGGCTATGATCCATCACAGGCTTACCTGGGAGCAACCCTCAATGAGCACAAGGGGACTTACTTTGGACCAGTCTTGCTCTGTACTAACCTGTATGTGTAACCTAGATGGGCTATTGGTCTGATCCAGCAGCCAGACTTATTATGTTCTTACATAGAAAAGAAGGTAGGACTTTCTTATAATACTGTGGAGGAACCATCCAAAGAAGCTGAATGTTGGAAGGTTCAGGGCAGGAAAAAGTAAGTATTTCTTCACATGATGCATAGCTAAACTCTGGAACTCCCTCCCACAAGATGCAATGAAGACCACCAGCTTGAATGGCTTTAAAAGAGTGTTGGGCAAATTAATAGAAGGTGAGACTATCAGCCAACCATGATGGCTATGTTCCGCTATCCCTCTAAGAGGCAATATGCCTCTGCATGCCAGTGTCTGGGAATCACAGGTGGGCAGAGATCTCTCATGCTCAGGTCCTGCTTGCAAGCTTCCTACTACGGCATCTGGTTGGCGCCTGAGAGATCAGGATGCTGGACCAGAGAGGCTTTTGACCTGCTGCAGGTTCTTCTCATGAGTTTGATTGCTTCTCGCAACTCAGCAAGTTATGCATACACTCAAAGCGTCCTGGATTTCCAGGGACCATCGCAGACTTACGAAAGCTGTCCCAGCTTCTGATTTGATCCCGGAATGTCCCTATTTCTCCCACCAGTGATGCCTCTGCTGAACTCGGGGAGGAGGTGGTGACGACTGTGAGGGAGCACCCTGTTGCCTCTCCACGGCTACTGCTGCCAGCCTCCTCCTTTGGGCAGCTTGTAGCAGCTGCTGGAGAGGTGAAGAGGATGAGAGGCTGCGGAAACTGAGGCCCAGCCCAATGTGAGGGCCAGCTCTGAGGAGCAGACAGAGGGCAGGGCCGTTCTGGGGAGGGAAGAAAGGGGGAGTGGAGCAGAGTGCAAGGAGTCTTGATTTTTATTTATTTAAAAAAATGCTTTGTGCATCCGCGTCTGATCTTGCCCTTTTCTAAAATTTATTTGTCGGTGTGTGTTTTCCATTTTGTAAGCCTACTGAAGAATACAATGAAATGAGGGTAAGAGGTTTTTCTCAGGACAGTGGAGGGCGTGTGTGCTGTGTGGCACATGGGTGTGGTAGCAGTGGCACTTGCCCTTCTTCTGATAGGAAATGCTGTGCAGGGGGGTGGACAAAGAAATGGGGGTTGAGGGGGGGTCTGTTGGGGTGAGTGAGAAATGTCCCTATTTTCATCTGAGCAATATTGGAGGGCATGGCTATGCAAACTCTTTCCAACTTCAGATGTATTTTAGGAGAGGCTAAGTAAAACAAAATGATTGCACGTCTCCCTCTGTTGTTGTTTTCCCTTCTTTCAATTCAAAATGTGCCCCTGGACTTGTCTTTCCTCTGGATCACTAGTCTTCACCCACGGAGAGGCTTGTGCTGACTACCCACCAAAGTGCCATTGGCTTGCCGGGTGGATTTGACTGCCTGCGTCACTCAGGCACAGCTCAGGGAGGGCTTTATAAAAAGCAGGTGCCGCATCCCGCTCTTGAGGACAAGACCGGACTAGGGAACAGCTCTGTCCCTCTCAGCCTTAGAACCTCCGGGGGAACCTCCGCCATGCAGCTGGTGGCCAGGCTGATCGCTGTTCTGCTGCTGGTGTGGAGCATGAGAGCATCTGCCTTGCCCGGGGAGGATAAGTTTTCTGTACAGAGCAGCAGGGTGAGTTGAAAAGGGACAGCTTTCCTTAAAAATTCTAGGGTTTTGTGCAGAAGGCTTTTAAGGTTTCTGGTGCTTTAAAAGATGGGCAAAGCTGCCTGGTGGAGGAGAGGAGACTGTGCACAAGAGGGAGGCTTTTGGAGGGGATGGAAAGGGAATGGGAGTACGAACAGATGCAAATAATGGGGAGATCTGAGGAATAAAGAAAGTGAAAGGGGAGTAAGTTAAATACCGAAGAAGGGTTTTTTCCAAGGTTACTGTCTTCTTTTCTTGAGTAAATAATACCAAACTCAAACTAAGGACTAGCATCGGAATGCAGAGAGAATGAAATATTTTGCAGTGCAACCCCAGAGTCCTGCCTGGCTCAATTAGCAGGACTTATTCCCAGGTAAGTGGAGGCTGGATAGCAGGCTAAGGGAAGGAAGGAGAGGAGAAGAAACAGAAAGAAGGAGAGGAAAGGAGAGTGGGTCCATCAAAGCAAGAGAGAGGTGAGAAGGGCTTTTAGTTAAATGCATGCCTCTTGTTTAGAAAGGATGTCAGCAGTGGCAAAACAGTCCTCTGGGGGGACGCTGCAGCTGAGTGGTAGAGCATCTTCTTCGCATGCCGGAGTTCCCAGGTGGAATCTCTGGCATTTCCAGGAAGGGCTGGGAATATCCCCTGCCTGAAACCCTGGATAACTTCTGCCAGTCAGTGTAGACAATACTGAGCTAGACAGACCAAAGGTCTGATTCAAGATAAGGCAGTGTTCTTCTAATGACTACCGTTTGTTTTCTCCTTTTCCTGATCGAAATCCAACAGGTGTGGTTCCCCCCAAAATTTTTTTAGAGAGGTGGGGACTACACCTGTTACATTTCTCCCTGTGGTTAAATGCACCACTGGGAAGTATGGGGGCAGGAGGGGGTACGCAGTACAGTGCTAAACATGTCGACTCGAATGTCCTATTGAAATCAATAGAGTTTGCTCTCAGGTGTTTGAGATTGCAACCATAATTTACAAAGGCACAAAGGGCTAAAATAAAAATTGACTCACGTATACTAAGGGTAATTAGTGATATTAGCTTACTGTTGTGTGCCAGGGAATGAGCTAAGCTCTTACTATTTCCAATTTTAAATGCCTTTTTTCGCTGTCACGCTGCGCAAATTAGCTCTGTCTCTTATGAACTAGCATCTTTATTTGATCAGGGAGATTAAACTACTAGGCAGTGAAGCCTGCATTCCATTTCCCTTCCACCACACATGCATTCTTTGCTAAGCATTAAGTCTATGAATCCTTAACAGCAGGGTGAAATGCAGAAACCCCATCTATGTAGCTTCCTGGGGGCATTGCCTGTGTCGAATCCCTGTCTGCTGTGCTGTTCTGAAATTTTATTTATGTTTATAAAAAACCATTTGCATGTTTCTTCTCAATCCGGAAAAGCAGCCCCCACAAAAGTGGCTCAAGAGAGGTGGGGGAATGGATATATTCTATAGGATAAAACCAGGAACAGGATAAAACAAGCAAAACATGAATATCAGACACAAACTTCAAAGGAAGCTAAAAGTGAGGGGGGGTGAAGTCTTGGGGAAGGGCTGTAGCTCAGTGGTTAGAGCAGAACTTTTCAAACTAGATTAGCTGCTTTACATGAAGAAGGGCCCCAGCATTGATCCCTGGCATCACCAGGTAGGACTGGCCCCATACCTGAAATTGCTTGAGAGCTGCTGCCAGTCAGTGCAGACAATACTGAGCTAGGCAGGCCAAGAATCTCGCTTGGTAGAAGGCAGCACCCTATGTTTCTGTGTCTTCAGAGAAGGGCCATAGCTCATGCTTTGCATGCAGAAGGTCCCAGGTTAAACCTGTGGCATCTCCAGGTATATCCTCTGCCTGGAGAGATGCTGCCAGTCAGTGCAGGCAGTACTGAGCGAGATGGACCAACAGTCTGATGTAGTATTTATTGCAAAAGGCTGCAGTTCAATGGCAGAGCACCTGCCTTGCATTAAGAAGGTTTCAGATTCTATCCTGGCATCTCCAGTTTTAAAATATCGGGTAGAAGGAGAAGTGAGCATCCGGCTGATGCCAATTATGATAATATATTTCAATCCCACCTTCCTTCCAAGTAGCCATACCTGGTTCGTCTCCCCACCCCATTTCATCCTCACAACAACCCTGTGAGGTGGGTTAGGCTGAGAGAAGACAGGTAACCTAGTGAGCTTCATGGGCAAGTGGAGATTCGAACCCAGTTTGCCCAGGTCCTAGTCCAGCACTCAAACCACTACACCACACTGGCTCTCAGCCTTTGTATGACCTGGCTGACCTTTCTGAGAACTGGGTGCTAGACAGTGATGGATCTTTGGTCTGATCCAGCAGCCAGACGCTTCTTACGTTCTCCATGTTTTTTATTTCCCACAGTGACTCTCTGTTTTTAAAACACCTTTACACTCTCCAGCAAGGGGGGAGGGACTCACTTTCCTGCTTTCTCTTTGCCCTCTGCCCTACTGCTTGCTTTGTGATTGCAGGAGCAAACCAAAGCCCGAAAAGGTCTGATCCTGAAAATGCTGGCAGATCTACTGGACGGGGTGGACATGAGCCGTGATGGGACGGCTTCCTCCGATGCGGAAGACCTGTTCGAAAGCAACCTGGAGGAAGAGCCATCTGTGTTGGGGAGGTTACCCCAGCTCACACAGAGGGATCGCAAAGCCCCCTGTAAAAACTTCTTCTGGAAAACGTTCACTGCCTGCTAACACCACCAGCACTAAGCCCTCATTCCCCAGCCTTCCCCTTGTCTTTGCTCTTGGATCTGGGGGAGGGGGGCCTCCGACTCGTCTCTCACTGTGTAGGGTTGCCAACCTGGTGGCAGGGGTGGGTAGGGATTAATAGGCCTGGCCTGCTCCGGTCTCTTTAACAGAGATTTGATCTGCAGCTCTTCCTCCTCCCCCCTAGTCCCTCTTTCCTTTTGTGCTATGTATTTAAAACTGTAAGCCTGAGGGCAGGGATTGTCTTGTTTCAATTAGTTCTATGAAAGCTGTTCTTGGAAGCCTTCTTGGCTGGACAATGGGGTACAAACGCTCTAAAAAAATAACAATGATAATAAATTGCGTCCAACATTAACTCCACCCAGAGTAGATCTGATTTGCACTTTCCAAAACAATGTGTGACCCGAAACACAGTCGTCTTTCAAAATTCGCACTTCCCTGAATTTTGGAAATGCAGTTCTCCAGCCAAGATTTCTTGCAAATACGTTACATCGGGGCAAAGTGTGCATTTAAAAAATGTATTATGTTACTGAAAAAAGCATATAAAAACACTATAAAAATATTAGGGACAATTCCTTTGCAAAATGCTTATTTCAGGCAAAACCATGTACAAAAAATGTGTATATCAGAAGAAATTTGCACCCAAATGCTGTTGAATGTTCACGGAGGCTTGTGGCGTGCTTACCATAAACAATGTGGCGAATGGAACACAAGAAAAATAAGAAACAGTGAGAAGGTGAAATTGACAATTTCACCCATTCCTCAGGCTAAAATTATTATTTGGTTGTAATTACGGTAATCATGCAACCCATGGACTGTAGGCCCCTAGCCATGGAAACGTAAGGGAAAGTAATGCATTTGCAGAAATTGTTTCCCTCCACTGAAAGAAGAAAGAAACCTTTCTGGCTGCTGATGTCCCATCAGAGCTGCCAACTTTGTTACCAAACTATGCTCCTCTGCCTTTAACCGTTGTTTGATGTGCAGGCATTGGTATACAGCACTGCTTATCTCCATGCTGCAAAAAGCTTTCACCCACTGCTTTCTACACATCAACAGGTGCTGTTAAAGACATAGGAGAATTCCAGATTATTTCCCCCTATGAATTGGCAACATTATCTTCTACACGGCTCCTCAATTCCCACATCTGGGATAAATCACTGGACTAGGAGTATTCAGGATTTGTGGGTTGCAGTCAACTTTTACTTAGAGTAGACCCACTGGAATGTAAAAGCATGACTAAAGCCACATTCACATATTTGAAGCACTATGATACCACTTTAAGCAGTCATGGCTTCCCGCAAAGAATTCTGGGAGCTGTGGCTGTAGGGTACTGAAAGTTGTTAGGAGACCCCTATTCCCCTCTTGGATCTACAATTCCTAGAGTGGTTTAACAATCAAGAGGGAAGTCTGCAAACTGCAGCTCTGGGAGGGGAAGAGGGGTCTGCTAACAACCCTCAATTCCCTTAACAAACTACAACTCCCAGGATTCTTTCAGGGAAGCCAATGACTGTTTAAAGTGGTATGATACTGTTATGATATGAAGGTGGCCTAATTTAGGTCCATGCATTTCAGTAAGTGTACACCAAACAAAATTTAAAGACGTCCCACTATTTTTAATAGAATTCCATAGATGAGTGTGTGTACTTTTGTGACAGAGACTGAAATGGATTTCTTTTAGCTGGCATGGAGCAGACTGAGGGTTGTTGCTGGGGGCCTTTGCAACACAGAGCAGAAAATAACCGACCACATGTCAATCTCTGCAGATCAAACAGGGCTGTTGAAAGGGACATGGAAACAAGGGAGCAGTTGAGACAATAGCTCTGCCCCACATTGTGCATCATCTCTGGCCTCACTAAATTACTGTACAAAAAACAAAACAAAACCCTCAACCAGCCATTGTTTTAAAAAGCATCTGTCCATCTTGTGGGGTTTCGTTTGCGCTCTCCCTTTTTTTTTAAGAAATAAAAAATCTTCATCCAATGTTTCAAACTTTTGGTTTCATGATGGTTCCATCCACAAATAAAGCATGACCTATGGGCGCCTTGGGAATACGACCTGAAATTTGTTTTCTTCCTTTTTTTCCTTACTACCGCGGCACGTCCTTCGAAAGCCTGCTTCCAGGCTTGGATTCCGGACAGATCAAAATGCACAGAGTAAAATGATAATGTTTGCTCCCATGAGAGGGAGCAATGGCCACCACCTTGGATGGCTTTAAAAGACATGACCAATTCATGGAGGAGGGAAAGGCTATCAGCTCTGGCTATGCTCTACTGTCCAAGGCAGTTGGCCTCCATTTGTCTCACCAGACAATGGAGTATGCTTCTGCATTAGCAGTGACCTTCCTGGGGAGCGAGCCTGGGCAGCGTACATGAAGGTCCTGGGCTGCCCAGACAACAAGAACCCCTCTTGGCCTCACTGATGTGGTCCAAAGGAAAGCAGAGCAGTACATTTGGCAACAGCTTGGCTGCAGGACCTGCTGATAGGAGGCATACAATCATCTTAGGGACTCTACTCCAGATTTGTGAAGGTTTATGCGTTAGTCTTTTCTTCTCCTGAAGATATCCCTCAAGGCAGTAGAGGTTTAGGATCAGAGTTTTCCTTCTCCTATTAGGGCTTTCTTCCCAGGTTGATGAGCCCCATCGGCCCCCCACTTCCCTTTACAGCATGTGCAGAAACCACCTACTTGACTGTTGGACCCACTATTGGTGTGATGGCCTGGGATTCGGAGTCGGATGCTGAACCTGAGGAATCCCAGCCTGCACAGGGTTCCCCGCCTCCAGAACCAGCTGAGCTGGGGCTGGAGCTTGAGCCTGAAGGGTCCTCACCTGTGCTGGATCCTCAGGTGCAGGCACCAGCTGAGTCTGCTCTGGCTCCTGAGGTGATGGAGGACCCATTGCCTGCAGGTGCTCCACTCTCAGCCCCATCAGAGGAAGCTGAGGCTGCCTCTGGGTCCGTTAACCCTCCAGCCTCTCCTGGGCTGCAGAGGCTTAGGGCAGAGAGGCGGAGGGAACTAAGTTCCTGCAGGAGAAGTGCTCGCCTTCAGGCCAGGAGAGGCAAGTCACCTGAGGATCGTGGCCCCCAATGCCTCGGGGCAGATAAAAGCCAGCCAGCCCCAGTCCCAAGTTGTGGAAGCAACATTGTTGGTCGCCAGTTCCTGCCTGAACCCTGCCCTGCACCCAGCCTCAGCTTTTACGGACTGCTTCCATATTGCTCCTTCAACCTCGGACTGGACTAGGACCTCGTCTCTCGATCCGCCCGCGGGACCAGCACAATTGGCCTTGTCTGCTCAATTCTCCAGAGACTGTCTTTACATGCAAGGGAAGTCCCTAACTCAGTGAGTGTTTGAGACCCATCAGATACCCCTCACCTGGTTTAGCTGGTCATTCAAAGCCATTCCCAGAGTGTGGCCACTGTCACAAGCTGACAGCTTCTTGAAGCCATAGGTGAGTGAGAGCTGAATGCAGGGTGAGGACCTAAAGTAGACAAACTACCCCAGAAGGAGCACAATGTGTCCCCCCCCCCAACCAGAGGTACTATCCCTCCCCTAACATCCCATACTGCCCATAGCCTCTGAATACCAGCCATAGGGAGCTGTTGGACTTATGTGATGCTTTCAGGTTTCCCAGAAGAGACACCTGGTTGACCACTGTGAAAATAGACTGCTGGAACCGGCAGCCAAGCTCTTCTTATGTTCTTAAGTTGGCTGGCTTTTTGAAGCCTCTCCAGACAGAAGGCTGAAAGAAATTGCTCATTCTCCCCCATGCTAGGGAAAAGGGTGTTCCCAGGTAGCTACCAGAAATAAATGGACCCTCCTTAGCCATAGGCAGCCAACTTCCAAATTCCAGTTGTTGGGAATCACAAGTATAGTGTTATTGTGACAAAGGTTCATCTTTTCTAACATCTGGGTTGCAGCTGCAAAGAGCTGCAAAAATACGTAGTGTGGGGACTTTCAAAGCATATCCCGAGGACCAGGAAGAGGGAGGGATGAAAGAACACATTTTCAGCCGTTTGATTACAACAATAGCTGGAATAATTTTTGGCCCTCCTGATGTTGCAAAACCCACCAGCCCATGCCATGCTGGCTGGGGTTAATGGGAACTGTAAAGGGTGTGCTTATTTCTCAAGCATTTCAGCTCCAATTATCACTGACTGTAATTTCTGTATCCCATTGCCATTCAGCTCCCACCTGAGTTTGCAATCAATGTGAACGATACTGATGCCAACAAAGGAAACACACTGAATGTTAATTCACCACGGACAATGAACCAGCAGCTACAAAGGTCATCACACACACACACACACACACCACCACCACCACCACCACCACCACCAGCAGCAGCAGCAGCAACAGCATCCCCACCACTTTTGCCTTGTCCCTATCATGTTTGCCTAAAAACCTACACAGAAACCAGTGCCAGGATGGAAACGCTCTCCAGCAGCCTCCTCCCAAGAGGCAGAAAAACCGCACAGCCAGAATCTCCAGCAGTCAACGAGGCATCAAAAAAGCAGCCTGACAACCAGCAAAGTGCCAATGAGAAATGTGCCCTTTGCAAAGGAAGACAGGTGGTGTCTGTGAGGGGAGGTGGTCACATTAGTAGGAATTGCTCATCAGCCTAGGGGTGAAGTCAGGAGCCTTGCAGCCAACGCAGATGACACTGAAGGTGACAGAAGCCTTGTACTGATACACGCCTCCCTCTGCCCAGCGCTGGGCCATAGGGCTTTTGCATAGTCAGTTTCATGTGAAGAGAAAATGCCAGAGTTGGTTTTTTTTAATGTGCACTTCCAAGTTACTTTCATTTTCTTTCCTTTTTTATATATATATTTTTATTGAGTTTTACTATTTAACAATCACCCAAACAACATAATGTGACAATTATCATATAAAGGAGAAGAGGAAAACTCCTCCCCATGACTTCCCTCAGCTTCCCCTTCTGGTTCTTTAAATACTACTGCTTATTTGTTATCTTACTTTTATGATCTTATACCTAAATACTCTATATTCTAATCACCTTCATCCCAAATTTTCTTTCATAATTACATCTTGCACTCAATTACATTCCATATTATTATTTCTTGACCTTTGAACTTATTTTCTTGTCTGTAAGTGTTTAGTCAAACCCTGCTAGTGAGTCCATTTCTTTGCAGTATTTCTGTAAGTACAATATGAAACCTTCCCAGTCTTTTTTACAGTCTTCATTGTCATTGTCTCTGATTCTAGTTGCTTTCATTTTCAAAGCAAATTTCTCCAAATCATTGAATGGTTATAGCTCCCATTAGTAGAGCATGATTCTCTTCATCGCAGAGTTGTGGGTTCCAGCATCACACTGGGCAAAAGATTCCTGCATTACAGGGGGTTAGACTAGATGACCCTCATGGTCCCTTCCCACTCTGCAATTCTATTAGTCTAAGAAAACTCAGCTAGTATCAGGTTAAATGCTTTTAAAGGTAAAGGGTAAAGGGACACCTGACCATTAGGTCCAGTCGCGGACAACTCTGGGGTTGCGGTGCTCATCTCGCTTTATTGGCCAAGGGAGCAGGCGTACAGCTCCCGGGTCATGTGGCCAGCATGACTAAACCGCTTCTGGCGAACCAGAGCAGCGCATGGAAATGCAGTTTACCTTCCGGCTGGAGCGGTACCTATTTATCTACTTGCATTTTGATATGCTTTTGAACAGCTAGGTTGGCAGGAGCAGGGACCAAGCAACGGGAGCTAACCCTGTCGCACGGATTTGAACCGCCAGCCTTCTGGTTGCCAAGCCCTAGGCTGCTGCCTTATCCCGAGTCAGACCATTGGCTCCATCTAACTCAATATTGTCAATATTGACTGGCAGCAGCTCCCCTGAGTTTCAGACAAAGGACTCTCTCTTAGCCCTACCTAGATATGCTGATAATTGAACCCAGGATTTTTTGCATGCAAAGCAGATGCTCTGCCACTGAGCTATGACCCTTCCCCGAGAAAAGACGTCCTCTCTCCCCATCACTGTATCCATTTCCAAACTCCAGTCATAGTCCCAGGTGAGCAAACGAATCACCAAAATGATAGGGGAGGGGGGCAAGAATCTGATCTCGAACCTGTGCTTCAGCACAAGGCCTGCAAGAAGGCAGGCTGCCTCACCCACCCACCACTGGGAGCTAGCAGAGTGGAAAAAGCTGCCTGATCCCTCTTGCAGAGCAGAAAATCCAGGCCAACACTGAGCCGGGGATCAGCTGGCAAGGATGTGGGTTGGTGAAATCCAGGAAGGACTGAGCTGGGAAGGCTGTGTAGCATCCCCATGAATGCAGCTTGAATCGCAGGCGAGAGATCCAAAGGGAAGTGCACAACAAAGACATAAACTTCTGCAGCTTGCGAACACAGCAGGATGGAGGGAGGGTGGAAGGGCGCCCCTTCACATTATTTCCCCCCAGTATGGCTGGAGAGTCGGATCTGAATAGCAAAAGGCTTTCTAGATGACACAGGAGTCTTCGTTTTGCAGGAGCAGGAGAAAGCAAGAGACTTGGGTTATTACTGAAGTCATCCTGCTGATCTGAAAGGCTGCACGCAGAGCGAGCTCCAGACATGTTATAAGACGAGAAGAGGAGCCTTGCTGGATCAGCTTGGAGGCCCTCCTGGTCCAGCATCCTGGTCTCAAAGTGGCCAGTCATGGGATGGGCACTAACAGGAAGCCCAGAAGCAGAGTGCAACTGCTGTGCCCCTGCCTGCTGTTTGATGCTCCTTAAAAGTCATAAGAACCTAAGAAGAGGCTGTTGGATCAGGTCAAGGGAACATTGGAGTCCAGCTTCCTGTTCCCACAGTGGCCCACCGAATACCTCCTGAAAGCCCAGAGGCAGATCATGAAGGCAAGAGCCCCTCTCCCACAGATACCCATAAGAAGAGCCCAGTTGGCCCATCTAATCCAGTATCCTGTTCTCAGAGCAGCCAGCCAAATGCCCCCAAAGGAAGCCCTCAAGCAAGATCTGAGTGGAGGGTCGCAGATACCCCCATCCTTACCCCAGAGAGACTCATTCCAGAGGGTAACCATATTAGGTCTTCCATAGTGAACACACACACCTTTTTGCCTCTCAAGGAGCAAAAAACCTATTCCTCCCTATGTATGCACGTTTGCTCCTTTGGATAGTGGAAAGAAGGTGCCATTTTCTACCATGGAAGGGACAAAGGGTGATTTTGGAAAAAAGAGAAGCAGCAGCAGCTAGACCATCATTCTTGTTGACACCGGATTAATCTCTCCCCGCTTCTCATCTGGGCTCTACTTAACAGCACCGTAATGACCAGAAATTGCCTCTGACAAATCAGTGGTGAAGTTTGCCTAGTCGCAGCTGCCATGCCAATGGACGAGTCATTATTCTTTCAATTTATCCCCCTGATGCCTCTTAGCATGCCTTTCGGGCTCCCCGTATGGCGCTCCTTAGCCTGGCTTGCAGGGCAACTGCCCAAGGATGATCCCCTCCACCCACACCCTGGAGAACAGCCTAATGAGAATGAATGGAAAGCCCTTTCACAGCAAATGGGACGCAGGTGGCTCAAAATGGCTTTTTCTCTTGGCCACTTTAAAACCAGGAGAAGGGGGAGGGGGAGGGAGACAAAACTATTCACACCATATACTGGAAGCACTCAGATACCACTTTAACCAGTAATGGCCTCCCGCCTGCCCCCCGAATTCTGGGAGCTGCAGTTTGTAAAGGTGCTGAGAGTTGTTCAGAGGCCCCCTATTCCCCCACCGCACTCTCCAACATTTCTCTGCTGAAAACAGGGACAGCCTAAGGAAAAGCAGGATTTTGTGGGATCAAATCAGAAACTGGGCCGGCTTCTGTAAATCCGGGACTGTCACTGGTAAAATAGGGATACTTGGAGGGTCTGCCACCCCGGAGTTACAATTCCCATAGTGGTTTAACAATTAACTCTTCTTCATGGGGAACTCTGGGGACTGTAGCTCCATGAAGGTCTCCTAAGAAAAGCACACACCCTCACCTATGGATTTCTATTAATATGACTAGGTCATCAACAATGAAGTTTTACTCAGCATAGAGTCACTGAAATAAAAGGAACTAAGTGAGGACACATTCACCCCATACATTTAAGGCACTATACCGTGTTAAACAGCCATGGTTCTCTGCTCCCTCAAAACAAAACAAAACAAAGTATTCTGGGAGCTGTGGTTTATCACAGGTGCTGAGAGTTGAGGAGACTCCTATTCCCCTTACAGCGTTACAATTCCCTGGGAAAAGGGATTGACTATTAAGCTACTCTAGGAATTGAAGCTGGGGGCGGGGGGTAAGGATAAGGGGATAACTCTCAGCAACTGTAACAAACTACAGCTCCCAGAATGCTTTTGGGGGAAGCCATGGCTGTTCAAAGCAGCATCATAGTGCTTTAAAAGCATGGGGTGAATGTGTCCTGAGTTCCTCAAGCATCCCTAGATTGCTCAGCTCCCACAAATCCTTCTGGCAGTCCAGCAAGCAGCACCTAGCACATGCCTGATCCTAAGACTCCTTTTCAGCGGCAGCAGGATCAACAGTTATTTTGCAACACAGAATCCCCATTAGCTACGAAGTTGAAGCCCATCTTATTCCTCCTGCCTGTGACACTTCATTTTCATCACATATATATTTTCCCCAGGAAAACTTCTGCCTCGAAGGTGCGAAATTGCAATTATACACTTCAAAAGTTGTTTTGAGGAGCAGCAAAGTGTGTGTGTTGGGCGGGGTGGGGGGAACAATGGCTCTCAGATCTTTCAGATTCCATTATGGTCCTTCTGTGAAAACACATCGACTCCCATTACAGGGATGCCACTCACCCACAGAACCTCCATTTCAAGGCTGAGAAAAGTGATTAAGAAAAGTTGAAAGAAACAGCCTCTCTCTCAGCCAGTCTGGATCTCCTTGACCTGCCAAACAAAGGCGGTGAGTGGTAGGGTAGTGGAACTTTCAGAAGTGCAGAGTACCTTGATGATGGTTTTATTATTTATATGCTGCCCATCTGACTGGATTTCCATAGCCACACACCCTTGCAGGCAAAGCCAGGACCAGTCCTACCACTAGGCAGTGAGATGATTGCCTCAGGCGGCATATGCTGGGAGATGGTGGTGCTCCTCAACTCTTCCTCCTTGAGCTCATTAACCATACCTTTCTGTTGGAGAAGAGAGCTATGTCTTGCATCTAGCCCTGCACCTTCATGGATCTTGCATCTTGCCCTCCACTTCCACCTTGCTGATCTCCCACAGGGGCAGTGCAGTGCCATGCTGCTAGTATTGAAGTAGGATTCAGAACTATAGCCACAGGTGGGGGTATCATTCTTTCCTTTGCCTCAGGCAGCAAAATGTATTGGGCTGGTCTTGACTGCACGCTTTCATAACTTTAGAAGGTTATACAACCTTCTAAAATTATACAATATTCTTAGAATTATACAATAACTAGGGATGCATTGCAACAATCAAAGCAGATCGCCATGTGTTGCTTTCAGCTACAGCTTTTATTTTTCTGTGCGCACAAATGGGCAAATGAGTGCCCCAATATCTTCTTCTGTTGTGAATTAACTTGTGTTTTCCATGAAATTCCACTGTGCATAGCAGAACTCACACATCATTTTCTTGAAACTGAAGGATCCTGTGTTTTCAGTGTCCTTAATTGCTTAGCTTTGGAGCAAAGCTTTGTTCTAACTCCTCCTCAGTGTTTTCTCTGCACAACTATTCCCCTCCCAGAGCTACAATTCCTAGAGTTCCCTGTGAAGAAGGTTCGATTCTTAAATCACTCTGGGAACTGTAGCTCTGGCAGGGGAATAGGGACCTCCTAACAACCCTCAGAACCCTTAACAGACTACAGCTCCCAGAAATAGCAGGTGGAACAATGGAGTGTATCTAATGCTAGCCTTGCTAAAGCAGCAGCAGAAGAAGAGTTTGGATTTGATATCCCGCTTTATCACTACCCAAAGGAGTCTCAAAGCGGCTAACATTCTCCTTTCCCTTCCTTCCCCACAACAAACACTCTGTGAGGTGAGTGGGGCTGAGAGACTTCAGAGAAGTGTGACTAGCCCAAGGTCACCCAGCAGCTGCATGTGGAGGAGCCGAGATGCGAACCCAGTTCCCCAGATTACGAATCTACCGCTCTTAACCACTACACCACACTGGCTCTCCAAGCAGGCCCATCCAAACTAACAGACATGGCTAATTTAGTTTAATTAATCTCAGTAGGTCTACTTGGAGAAGGACTTAGTGGGGGGGGCAGGCGGAAGGGAGGGAGGGAGTGATATGAAAGCAGGCACAAGTGTTGGTCTGGATCCCACCCCCTTTGAAATTTTGCACTACATGGCCTGGCTTCTCGGGCGGTGATCTATAGAGTTTGCGCATGAAGTATTTATGTGACCATCACACACTTGGCACTCCAAGGCACCTCTTCCACATGCTTCAGTGTTACGACTTGCCATCAAAAGCATCCATCTGTTTAAAACCTGGATGCCAAGTCTGGTGTGGGAGCCAAGTCAACAGATCAAATGCAAGTGTGATGTTTGCTCCTCCGCTCCACTTTATGATGATTTAACGATTGGGATGAAAGCTTGCAGAGCTAGATTCTGACTTACAGTAGCAGATCATAAGAGTACAAGGCTTAATTTGAGTCCCCATGAACTCAGAATCCAAAGGAGAGAAAGGACAGGCTCAGTTTCCAGAGTCTGTCATGCTCTGCTATCTTGGTTGCACCTAGAAAGGGCAGAGACTTCAGTAAAGAAATATAGAGGATTTAAACTGCATTGGGAGGGAGGGGTTAGAAACAGAATCAATAGCAAACCCCTACATCAATAACAACTCAACAGTTTGGAAAATCTAGAGTAAAAATAATAATGCACGATACGTTTCTGCAGTTCATGCATTGGGAAGAAGCTGGTTGTCCATACCACTCAATGTACTTGTATATAGGACTTAACCCTAAAGCTAACAAGCTGTTAGAAACCTCGTTAAGGAATAATACATTTACCAGGTTTCAATTACATCAAGTCAAACATTTTATAACAATACCCAGTGTCATAAGCCAAGCCACTAGACGTCCTTTCAACTTGCGAGACATTTATTGCTCAGACCACAAAGAATGGAAAGTGTATGGTTTCGGCAATCTATAACATTTTGTTGGGTGAAAGTATAAGCATTCACAATGGATTTTAAGTCATCTGGGGACAGGACTTACAGCTGAACACTGATGAAACTTTATAGAGGTGTAGAAGCGAAAAGGCGCCGTTTAAATCTGTCTCTGCCAGTTGAGAGAGAATGCTTTAAAAACAGTGTTCTTCTGGGACCTCATTCCCCACACTCTGAGCAGAATAAACAATATGCTTTTTTCCCCGGCGTTGGAAAGAGGAATGGGGAGCAAGCTGGGGAGTGAGGTACCTTTTTCCATATGTGGTAGCCATACAATGGCATTCTTCCATTCCGGAATGCTGTATGTGAAGAAATCAACAAAATCGCCCGTCAGTCACTGCAGCTATATCCACAACTAGTTTTGCTTGTAATCTAAATCAGCAATACACAAAGACTTGGTACTCCGTCTGTTAACTGCTGTAAGACTTTTTATGGCCCCAAATGGGAAAGTCCTTGAACTGAACACACTATTCCCGGTCTCCTAACTTTGGAACTGTCATTATCTACATTGGACCTTCCACATTAGTTTCCTCTACCACCACCACCACCCAGTTTGTGTGCGGTTTGCACGTGTGAGCGGAGACCAACTGTGGGTGATGATGGAATGCAAAAGAGACAAAGTTTCACAGTGCAAGTTTCCTACACTAGAGTGGTATACTGCTTGCAATGTTGGACTAAGATCTGGGAGACTGTGGTTCTAAGTCCCCTACTCAGCCATGAAGCTCAGTGGGTGACCTTAGCCCAGCCTCTGTCTCTCAACCTAAACTTACAGGGTTGTTGTGAAGATAAAATGGGAAGAGGAAAAACATGTATGCCTTTTTGAGCTCCTTGGAGGAAACGTGGAATATAAATGCAATCAATCAATCAATCAATCAATCAATCAATCAATCAATAAAACAAAGCTGGTACCAAGAAGTGTGGAGATCAGCACTAACACATAAACCAAAAGCACTAATAAAATGAACAGAGGCAAGCATATTTCAGAAGACTTGTTATTGCTTTATTACTTGTGCAAATAGGGAAGAAAATAGTTGGCAGCCACTGGCAGCTCATGGACAACTTTGGCTGGGAGATCAGGGGCGGTTCCTGTAAAAACACAAAGAGATGCACATGAATTTCTAAACTGAACTTGTGACCCAACAAGGTCATGCCAATGTTACATTGTAAGTCACTCCCTCATAATGTGTTCTTGTTGCTGTAAATGTTACAATTCAGATAAAAGCATCCTCCCCCCCAAAAAAGAAGTTAACTATGTTCTGTATTTAATGTAGACCCATTGAAATCAATGGGCATCACTATTAATTTCAGTGTGTCTATTTGAGTAAAACATGGATACAACCCAGTATCTGCTCAAAAACCCACAAGTGAAAACTGCATCCTTTTACAAAAATCTTGTATATGGGCTCTATTAGCTCCCCCCCCCCAATCACTAGTTGCCTTTTGAAAGTAATGCAATGCTACAAACAGCAAAAGCAAATAAATGAATCATAACCCAATATAGCAAGACACGCAAAATAAAATTTAAAATGTGCTTAGAAATGTACACTTTGGAAAAAAAACATTTGAAACACTTTCTTTTTTAAGGCAATGTCTTTATTGCTTCAACAACAGAACAGAATAACAAAACTTAAAATGCCCACATATCTCAATGCAAATGTTACAAATTCACAGATGATTGTACTGTCAAGGGCTGATGGGAGTTGTAGTTCAGAACATCTGGAGGGCACTGGGTTGCGAAAGGTTGCTTTAGGCATGAAAATTATCTGGAAACTTATTCCTCTGTATGCTTGGAACGGAATCTTCTGCTTATCATCGGCATCATTATTAGCGATCAGTTCTCAAATATTTTCCCTCTGGTGAAAAATATCAACTTGCTTCTCCAAGCTGAAGGGCAGAGGAGGCTGGCACAAATCTGCAGGTGACAGGCAGTGTTTGCTGCCTCACAAAACAGACACCTCAGATAACAAGGGCTGACTGTGATAAGCTGGAAGTGTAATTACAGGATATCTCAGTGCAATTCATCTCTGGAGCAAGGCGGTAGCTGTCACTGTAAGTCAGAATCTCTCTCCATCGGACCTTCTGAGCATGTGGGCGTAGAGAGGAAACAGGCGATAATGCGCAGGAGATTATGTTCAAGTAATTAGAAACGTGGCCTCTGTAAATAAGAAGGGGTGTGGGCGCAGTGGCAGAGCACCTGCTTTGCATGCAGAAGGTCCCAGGTTCAATCCACAGCATATCCAAGTAGGAGTGGGGAAGTCTCCTGCCTTAAACCCTGGAGAACCATTGCTACAAGTCAGGAAAGGCAATACGGAACTAGATGGATCTACTCAATGCATGGCGTCTCAGGGGAAGGATCATAGGTGTCCTGCAGATCACACTTTGCACACAAAAGGTCTGTGGTTTGATCACCAGCATATCCATGTAATGTCTGCTGGAGAGCCACTGGCTGTCATTGCAGGCAATGCTGAGCTAAATGGATCAATAGTCTGACTTGGTATAAGACAGATTCCAGTGTTTATTGGATGTATCCACAGCTCACTGGAAGAGCATCTCCATTGCAGGCAGAAGGCCCCAGATTCAATCTCCAGCATCTCCAAACCAGGTGGGTAAAGAAGCCTGCCTGAAACCTTGGGCAGCTGCTTTCAGTTAGTTTATATCAGCTTTGCCTAACCTGGTGCTCTTGAGGTTGGACTACAACTCCCATCATCCTTGACTATTGGCCACAGTGGCTGGGGATGATGGGAGTTGTAGTACATCAACATCTGGAATGTACCAAGCTGGAGAGGACTGCCACAGGGATGTGGAGCCTCTGACATGCAAGAGAAATAGACTAACATATCCATCCCTATTCCATATAAGGCAGAACTAATATTTTCACTTTACTTTTTCTTTTGTAGGTATGTACGCATATAAACATGTAATTATGCTTAATTTCCAGCTAGATTTGTGATCAATGGTGAATAAAGTAGTTCGTCAGTACATTGCATTACATGTAAAAAGGAATTGTTAATATTTACACTGTCTACTCAATTTTCAAAACTCAGATCATAGCTATACGTTGCCAGTATCACTGCATAGTTCCTTTATTAATTCTAGCTTAATACCAGCTGATAGCACCAAATACTACCACATACACTACAAGCATAATGTAGTAAAGTGTCATATAGGCCAAGATTATAAATGCAATCTTTGGATGCAACAACCCATTAATACTGCTTTTAGTTAGCTTGAAGAAATTATGGCAGTTAATATCTATTCCATAGCTGATTGTCAAAAAGTTTATAAATCAGACCCAATCACATTTAAAGCATTGGGAAGGGGGTAACTGAATGCGCTCTGTATCTTTTGCCATGAATTGGGGAAACCTTTTTTTCAGGCTGAGGACCACATTCTGTTCTGGGCAATGCTCTGGAGGGGGGCACATGTCAGTGGTGGGTGGGGCTAGAGACAAAAGGAGGTGGAGCAACAAATGTAAACGTACAAAAGCAACAAATCCCCCTCCAAGCAATCAGGAGGCATTATCAAAGTTCAGGGACACATTTCCACCCACGGAGGGTGTGAAGCTGAGGCAGTGAGGAACATGGCCTGAGGTTAATTTTCAGGCAGGTTTGCCCTGTGTAGGAGAAATTAGCCATGGTTTGCATCCAATATTGGGTCATACGCAGAGCAGACCAATTGAAAATAATGGGCATGACTTAGTTCCGTTCATTTCAAAGGATCTGCTCTGAACCGGTGCGGTGTAGTGCTTAGGGTGCTGGACTAGGACCTGGGAGTCCAGGGTTCAAATCCTCACTCGGCCAAAAAGCTCACTGGGGTGTCCTTGGCCCGGTCACTCCTTCTCAGCCTAACCTACCTCACAGGGCTGTTGAGGGGATTACTTGAGGAGGGGGGGAACCACATACACCACACTTGGGCTCTGTGGAGAAAAAGAGAAGATACAAATGTGATAACTAACTAACTAACTAACTCACGGCTGGATATAATCCCTTTCTTCCTTTTTCTCAACTGAGGGACTGAAAGTACTGTGTTTAAAATAGCTAAACATGCAAAGTCTGCCTTCCGGTTGTGAATAGCATAGCTGAGGCTACACAATCAGCATCTCCTCCCCTATTACCCATTAAAACAGAAAAGTCATGGTGGTTGAAAAGATCAGAGCTTAATTCCCAGGCTTTGTGAAGGGAGTCAACTTCTTAAGTGTGAGAGCACACATAATCTGATGTCAGGTATATTTGTCTCTTTTCCTTAATATTTTTTTCTTTTCCTTTTCCTGTACTTGGTTGCAGAACATTGGCTATATTTCTCCCTGTGTTTACCCATCTTGCACAAGAATGGGGAAGACCCGGCTGGCGAAACAGAACTGCTATTGCCTCATATGCCTCTGCTTTGTCCTCTCCCAGCCAACCACCAGAACAAATCACGCGCTTCTCTACATCTCTCCCCACCTTTTTACCCTTCTGACTCTGCTTTCCACTACACGGCTCAGCTCAACTTTTTCTCTTTTAAACTCGGCACTTGCCCTTCGACTGTGTCCCACCTGAACTTTTCATTTTCTAAGAGAGAGAGAGAGAGAGAGCAGATTGAGGAGTGCACATGCTTACTTCCAACTATCAGTCGTGTTTCATGGAAGCTATTGACCAGTCTGATGGGAAAGGAAGAGATAAAGGTTGGAGTTCAAAAGAAAGATAAATAACTGCTGAACAAACAGAAGGGTGGTTTGGTGTGCGTTTTCCCCCCAAAACAGTGCAAACATACAAGAGACAGCTGTTGATCCCAGAACACAAAAGGACATAAAGAGGGGCATTGCAAGAATGAGGTAAGTTCTATCCAAGATGTCTTTCTGAAAGGGATCTGGAACACTATTCGATGTAATTTTGACAGCAAAGTAGAATTGATCCTTGTAGGATTGCTGCAAAATTATGAGACAATCAGGACTTTGCAGTCTGCTCTGTGGCAAATTGAAGTATGGGTTGCATGGATTAAATTCACTCAGATTTCTTGGGCAAGCCCTTAATCTGAGAATCCTGCAGAGCAGTGGTCTCTTTCTTGAAGTGAAGGGATAGACTGTATCTCTGCTGTAAGAAGCACACTAAAGGAAGATCTAATTTCGCAGCTCAGCATGCAGTTTGCAAAACAGAACTGGTAGTTCAAATCTCTTTTTGTTATCGTTATAAACATAGTTCATCAGAACCCACTGACCAGATGCTTACTTAAGAAATAACTGACATACCTCCTTTTTTGTGAAGTACAAGCCTATTAATAGCTACCACTGGTCGTGATAATTATAGTGTATGCATCTGAACACCAGATCCCAACAGTTCAACAGTTGGCAGACTGTGGCTGTTGTGCTTAGGCCCTGCTTTGGGGGCTGATCCAGCAGTTTGGTTCTTTTAATATTCTTATTGCTCACCAAGTTGGGCCCTTCTGCTATTTCTTTTTTTAAATCATAGTCACAAAAAATAGAACAATGTTTCAACTGACAGAAGGGCAATATTTGGCAAAAACGATAGGTTTTATGGTAGCTGTAGTCCAACATGTTGGCTGCTCCTGGTGTAAACAGTTTTCCAAAGAAAATGCATGTGCATATCAGGAATGAGGAGTAAATCCATTTGGTTCACGTTTTAATTGTTCTATAGATTTCACAGATCTGTAAGTCGGGGCACTGCATTTTGGGCAACCACCATGGGTGAGAGCTTAGCTCAGCTTCCATTTAAAGCAGCGCTGGTGCCCACCCCACTGCTAAAAGGCTGCCCAGGGGGCAGCAGGGAGGGTGAGTGGGGGGTTGTTGCTGCCATTGCAAGAAAATACTGCATGGTCGTGTGCCCATGAAGGGGCCCTGCAGCAGCACTATGCTGGGGAGCCCCTGAAGTCCGTTGCCAACTCTGCCTAAGTCCTGGATGCAATTGTACGGTGTTAATAGGTCAGCCTACTTGGATGTGCATCTTGGGTTGAGTCAGCTTGGCCTCACCACTCTTTCTTCATTGTCTCCCCTGCAGACTTTGCCTCTTCCTCTTCGCCTTTTCCCATGGGGTGCTCAGTGACCTCATCCAACTGGAGAAAATGTATGGAAGGATTGCATCCCCCGACTTCCCGAACATATACCCCAATGGCAAGGAGAGGACATGGAACATTACTGTGCCCCCTGGCTATGGTATCCGCCTCTACTTTACCCACTTCAATCTAGAGCTTTCCTACCAGTGCGAATATGACTATGTGAAGGTATGTGACGTCACAGACATGTGAGCGTGCTTTTAACAGGTAGTGTCAGGATTGCTGCTCAGGAAGCTCATTCAATTCAGACCCAAGCAAGCAACCAAAGTGATATCCTTCACGCCTGGTTAATTTCCAAAGTACTCTTGCTTTCTCTGATCTCTTTGAATTCTTGCAAGTTCATTCTCCTCTTTGTGTGCAGAGGTCCCAGGTTCAATCCCAAGCAACATGTCCAGGCAGAATATACCTTGCCGTATGTCAATGTAGATTATACTGTGCTGTGTGGTCCAATAATCTAACTCAACTTCTTCATGCAGCACGTATTTAAACTGTGGAACTCGCTCCCACAGGAAGCAGTAATGACCAAGCTGAATGGCTTTAAAAGAGGATTGGGCAAATTCATGGAGGTGGTCATCAATGGGTACTAGCTATGCTGTTTCTGCTCTGTTTCCATGGTCAGTGGGAGCAATGCTTCTGAATACAAGCTGCTGGAAACTACAGGAGAGTGCTCTCATGCTCAGGTCCTCCTTGGTTTCCCACAGGCATATGGTTGGCTACTGAGAACAGGATGCTGAACTAGATGGGCCATTGGTTTGATCCAGTAGGCTCTTCTTATGTTCTTATAGTATAAGGCAGCTTCCCATTTTCCTGGGATAACCACTGGCAGGTCCACTTAAGGGCAGGCAAAAAGGCGTTATCATTGCATTTATATATAGATATGTATCTCATTCATCTCCCTGCTTTCCAGTTGCGTTCAGGAGGGATAGTCTTGGCTACCCTGTGTGGACATAAGAGCACAGACACTGAGGAAGTCCCAGGGGACAGGACATACCACTCCATCAACAACAACCTAGCTGTGACTTTCCGATCAGATTATTCCAACGAGAAAGAATTCACTGGCTTTGAGGCCTTTTATGCTGCTGAAGGTGAGAGGGTGGAGGTGACGTTCCTCTTTCATGCAAGCAAGGCAGAGTGGGCATGACAATGGCAAGTGGTCATCATAGAAGAGTGGTAGAGCACATGCACTGCATTTAGGAGGTCCCATGTTCAGTTCTCAGCATCTCCAGGAAGGACTAATTTTTTCTTCTTGAAACCCTGGAGTTTCCCTGGCATCTTTAGGTAGGGCTGGAAGAGACACCCATCTGAAATCCCAGAGAGCTGCTGTGCATCAGCGTAGACAATACTGAGCTAGATGGACCAATGGCATGACTCAGTATTCAGTACTCAGACCCAGCTTTGGGTGTTCGTATGTTTTTCTTTGCCCAGAAGAGGCCTGATTCTGCCATTACCCCATTTCCAAAGGGACCTGAGACACTATTCTCATGTGGTCTAAGATGAAAAGATACATGTACCATGTTTTCCAGGGCTAATGCAGATCTAAAAGTGCAAAAAATGTCCCAACTACATTTTACAGAGTAGACCCATTGAAATTAAAGGCCATTAGCCATGTCAGCCCTTAGTGGGGCTGGCATTAGGTGCAACCCTCCGTCTTCCCACCCGTGGCACCATCTCAGCCCCTGCGTCACATTTGTGTCCACGCCCGCTTCCAGAAATCCCTCGCCAAAATGGTTGCAACTTGCTTTGGGAGAGCTACATCCAAGCTCCTGTTTCTCCTCCCTTTCCTCCAGACATTGATGAGTGCGAACAGCTCCCTGACAGCGAGCCACTTTGCGATCATCGTTGCCACAATTACCTGGGCGGCTTCTACTGCAGCTGTAAAATCGGCTACCGTCTACACAAAGACAAAAGGACCTGTACAGGTGAGTCTCTTGGGAGCTGGTGAGAGCTGCTTACAAGTGGGTTTTTAAAACAAGCAAACAAAAACCTGTTTCCTTGACCAGCTTATGTTGGAGCTGTGCTTTATTTAGGTATTTGCTGATTGTTTACTTGTTTTGTTTAAAATTAAGGTGAGGAACTTTAGACCTGGGGGCTAAATGTGGCCCTCTTGGCTGTTCTGTCTGGCCTTTCAAACTCTCCCTACACCTCTCACTGGCCCTGCCTTGCACAGCAAGTATATTTGCCTGACTGGGATGTATTGTTGGATTCTGATAAAGCCTCTTGCTTGACTGGATGAATAGAGACTGGGGTGTGTGAATATGTGTATAAGCTGGCCTACTGTACTAAAGTCAAACATACAGTTGTTGTTGCTCCACCCACTTTTGGCTCCAGCCCTGCCCACCAGGGGCATGTGGCCCCTGGAGGGTTGCCCAGAAGGAAATGTGGCTCTCAGGCTGAAAAATGGTTTTCCACCCCAGTTTCAAAATTGTTATATAGTGCTCCCCAGCAGAGCTTCCAAGGCACTCCACAAAATTCAACACTTGATCTTAGCCAAAAGGCCGAGAAGCGATCACACAATTCAGATAAACTAACACAAATAAAATCTCAGCATTTAGAAAGAAAATACATTAAACTACACTAAAACCCACAGGTTGATTACCGGTTTCATTTTTGTTTTATAAATTAAGTTTCTAGGCCTTAAGACTGTAGGGATATTTGGAATACCTGAGGTCCAGAAAAAAAGCTTAGAATTGTGTCGGGAAACCAATCAGCAGCCAATAGGTTGCATCCAACGGCAGCCCTATGTTTTAAGTCTGCAGTATGCTAGGCGCAGTCTTTGATTTTTCTGCCACCCACTCAGGAAGGCTTATTATTCACCAGCTCTTTTTTCTCTTTCCTTTCTTCTCCCTCTCTCCTCCCTTCTTTATTTTCCAGCATGAAATAAATAAATTCGCTTCTTCGCGGCTTAGGGAGAGATGGAGCTAGACGTGTCAACATTCCCTCCTGAACTGCCTGTAGCCTCGTGCGCAATCATACAGAGCGCTATGCTTGATCCGTGACTAGCTTGTGTCTTCTTCCTCTTCCTCCTGCCTAGCACTGTCTCCTGCAGCAAATAAAATGGCTTTCTCTGTTTCTACCAAGCCTACTGCAAACCTTTCCTCTGCAGCCTCCGAAAGAACATAGGAAGTTGTAATATATTGAACCCAACCCACTGGTCCATAGTACAGCTTACACCAGGCTTCCTCAACCTCGGCCCTCCAGATGTTTTTAGACTACAATTTCCATCATCCCTGACCACTGGCCCTGCTAGCTAGGGATCATGGGAGTTGTAGGCCAAAAACATCTGGAGGGCTGAGGTTGAGGAAGCCTGGCATACACTGACTGGCTGCTGTTCTCCATGGTCTCAGGCAGAGAGTCTATCCCAAGCCTACCTGGCACTCTCTTCCAGGAGCTATGATTCAGAGGCAGACTGCCTCCAACAGTGGAGGTGGAATGTAGCCATCATGTTTAGTAGACATTGTTTGCCTAACTTTTAAAGTCCATAAGCACACTGGAATTTTTGACTGCCTAGGGCACCACTTTTCTCCCCCCTTCCCCTCCCCTGGATAAGTCACCCTACAAAGAGACAAGAAGTGTACAAGTACAACTTCATTTCCCCAAGAGATCTGGGTAAAAGTTGTATCCAGTAGAATTAATCTAAGCCTTGAAAAAGCACAAGGAGCCATAAAAAGGAAGTGGGAAAGGGCGTCATTTTTCCAACTTTTGCTTTTGCATGCAGGTTGTCCCAAGTTCAACCTCTGGCATCTCCAGCTAAAACAGGGGTGCTGAACCTGTGGCCTTGTTGGGTTCAGCAGTTAGGGATGATGGGAGTTGTAGTCCAACAAAAGCTGGAGGGCATGAGATTCCCCTGTCCCTGTGTTAAAATGATCAGATTAAGGGAAACACTATTCTGATGTCCTGGAGGGTCCACTGCAAGCTGGAGTAAGATAATGCTAGACTGTGTGAACAAATAGTCTGATCTAAGGAAGCTTCTGAGCAGCAGTGACACTTTTAAAAACGTAAAATGTGTTCATTTTAAAACTTTGCTCCATTTCACAAATTGGTCTTCAGGGCAACAGGCTGAAAATCATGTCTTTAAACAGAAACACACACACATAGAAAAGTAGAATGTCAAGGAGTAGCCTTTTATATGCACCAGCTATCTATATCAGAAAGATAATTTAAACATGGAAGTTCTCCCTGCCTGCAATGAAATGGCAAAAGCCATGCACGTCACCCACCCACTCCCACTTTGCTTCCACTCTTCCAACTCGCAGCAACTTCCCAGTTACTCACTAATGTAATTCAAAGCCTACTGTTAATTTTGGACCTAATGATCCAGCCATCCAGCCATCACGAGTTCACCAGTTGAGGCAGGCTACTTCCTCAGAGTTCAAGTCTCTCGTGGGCAGTATAGTGTTACTCTAATAAAAATATAGCCCTAAATGTAATTGAACACTCTCCCGGCGCCCCTAAAGCCCAGCTAGAGTTTACAGCCGAGGACGGCGTGAAAAATTGTCCAATTCCTCTTGCGCAAGCCATTTTTTCTTTTTCTTTTTTAAAAAAACTGCTTTATAGATTTTTCTTGCCTGCAGATCTGTGAAATAAAAATACAGCCCATAATAAAGGCAGCTCCCTGTGGCCATATCCAAAGAGCTATAAAACACAGGAGAGTCAGTTCAAGCCGTTCCATTGTCGTGACCACAAGAAGCTGTCTGTTCTCACTGTGTAACAGCCGGGGAGAGCTGGTCCCACTTCGTCCCATCAATTGTGACAAGGAGTGCTCTACAGAGCACGGCAGCATGAGCATCACAGGCACATATCGGGGAATGCTGTGACACCACTTGTGCCAACTGGGTAGCATATGTGATGTCCCTGCCTCATTAGTGCCGGTTCAAGAATGACTGTGATGGCATGTATTGCACAATTGCTACAAACTATGATGGCTATGTTCTAAACGCCACTGTCAGAGGTAGAATAGCCTCTGAATACCAGATGGTGGGAATCCCAAGTGGTGAGAGCTGATGTTGCACTCAGGACCTGCTTGCAGGCTTCCTATTAGAGCATCTGGTTGGCCACTGTGAGAACCGGATGCTGGATGTGGTTCAGGCCTTCAGGGCTCTACTTATTATCAGTATTGTCTACACTGACGGACCAGTAGCTCTTTAAGGTCTGGCTGGAGAGATTTTCAACCCTACTTAAAGATGCTAGGCATTGAACCTGAGGCCCCCGGAAAGTTTCTCAGAACAGAATACGGCCCTCAGGGTGAAAAAAAAGATTCCCAAACACTGCACTAAATCCTCTTGTGATGTTGGCAGGATATTTGAAAGTCACAGTAAAGAAAGAACTGCATGACTGTCGACTGTCAGAAAGTCAGAGACAAAACAGAAGCTAACACCAGCATTTAAAATGTGGTTGGGTAAAGCTTGTTGAAATGGCACAAGTTGCAGAATACATTCAGTTATGCAATAGAAGGAGGGGAATCTCAGAAAGTCTGAAGGACAATCGGGTCTTATTTACAAACACTATGATGAATAGATATGGATTAGATATCAACTGCTACAATTCACTGAAACTAATTTAAAGCAGTATTAATGAGTTGTTATGAAGGCCAGTGTTTGCACTTAAATATTTCAATGCGTATCTGCATTGTGCCAAGTTGTTGGAGGAGCTAGCTACACCCCTGCCGACAAGAAAATAAAACTTTTTCTTTCCAAGGTTATATGTGGTCAAGGGGGAAAGAAGCAAAATAGAGGGAGTGGGGGAGAAGAGGCTTAGTACTTGAATGCCTTTCTGATTTTGAGTCATCTCGAGCTGCACCACTGTGAAGGCAGAAAATATTCCTGGCCTACGTCTGTCAACCCCTTGCTCCATCCTCCTCCATAAATCAGCAAGGAAGTTGCTGCAGTTCAGATTCAGAACCTGCAGCTGCCTGGCCCTAGCCAAGTACCAGGCGCTGTCAACAAGCAAGAGTTCCTTCAGGCACTCGGTAACCGATCAATCCTGCCTGCTGTGTCCAGCGGGAGATGCCATGACTCCGAGCATGCCAGCCAGAGTTACAGCTGGATTTTGCAGAGCAAGGATGATTTCCACTCCTACACACGCCTGGCGACCAAGAGAGCCGCTGAGGGGTGGGTTGTATTTTTGAAAGCATCGGGAAGGAAACAGGGAGGGCAGCTGCCATCAGAATTGCACATGTAAACCAGAGTTGGGGAACCTTTGGCCTTCCAAATGTGGCTGGACTCCAACTCCCATCAACACCCCCCGCCCACCCGCCAGCATGGCCAATGGATCAGAGATGATGCAAGTTGTAGTCAGACCAAAGATTCCCCACCCCTGATGTAAAGAGAAGGCTTTAGGAACTGCATTAAAGAGTAAGATCACTGGTCTATCTCAGTGCTGTCTACACTGAATGGCAATGGCACTGTGGAGTTTCAGACAGGGGGTCTCTCTCTACCTGGAGATGCCAGGGATTTGAACCTGGGGCCTTCTGCAGCCAGAGCAGGTGCTCTGCTACCGAGCTACAGTCCTTCCCCTTTAAACAAGTGGAAGGCCGATTCAAAGATGACAGTCACGTAGGTAGCAGGGTTTGCAGCTATCGGTACTGGTAGCTGGTGCCCAGCTGGAAAAGGTGTACCAGGGGTCAATTAAATTGGTCAAGGCATTAAAGCACCTTCCATGCATGGAGATGCTAAAAGCATATGGAGCATTTTAGTTCAGGGAAACTTTGAGCAAAGCTGGATAGACAAGGTCCACCATTGTTGGAGCTGATAGTGTAGCTCACAACTCCCACCTAGCAGTCGTGCTCCAAGCCAGTTGGAAGGCACCAGTTTGGCGGAGGTGTTTTTTAAGTGTTTTTTAGAATTATGAAACTTTTTTCCTCCCCTCCCATTTTCAGATTTGGATTGGGGTGCATTCAAGCAACTGATAAGCAATAAACTGGGGGTAGGGAAAGTGACATCCTTCGCAGAACTTCGCCACCAAAAGATGTTGCAGCAATGGCCATTGGTTAAATTGATTTTTTAAAAAAGGTTTAGGTAAGAACTAATTGAAACCCCATTGATAAGCAGTATATTTCTACCCTGTGCTAGGGCCAAATGGAGGACTGCTTGATATGCCACACAGTACAGCTATCTCAGCAAACGCTTAGTTATCTTATTGCTACTGACTGTTTGGCATTGGGGTTTTTATGTATTCATTGTATGTTTTGTTGGGGGGGGTAGGAAAATAGGGGGAGACTAAATTTTAATTAGGGAGAGGGTCCCAAGCTCAGTGATAAAAGGATCTGCTTTCTATGCAGGAGGTCCCAAATTCAATCTGCAGCATTGGCAATTAAAAAGATCAGCAAATAGATGATGGAAAAGACTTCTCTGCCTGAGACCCTGGAGAATCGCTGCCAGTCAGAGTTGACAATACTGAGCTAGATTATCTAGTCATCATTATTAAAGAATTTATGAATAATCATTTACATGCATCTCAAGCTGATTTCCAAATATACCATAAAAACAGATGAAATTGTTTGAAAAGCAGTACAAGAACAACTAGATTTCAGAAATTCATCAGACCTGCTATAATACTGAGGCCTAGCCAAATTCTTCAGAATTGAATTAACAAGCTCATAGCTTTCTCCCCTTTTCCTTACATCGGACAACTATGGTATTTGCTTATTGTGGGGTCTTCAGATGTTGTTAGACTACAGCTCTCATTAACCCCAGTCAGCATGGCCAATACTTAGGGATTTATTTTTATTTACTGCCTTTCATCATAAAATAGCAAGGTGGCTTACCAAATGAAATCAAAACAATGTAGCAATCATTTATTTTTTAAAAAGGAATACTACGTATCCAGGAACTCTCCAAAGAACTGGCACTAAAAATCAGTGCTTGGGCCTCCAGTTAAGAGTAAGGGACAATGAGAGTTGTAGTCTGATAAAATCTGGTAGGCGTTAGATTCCTTGTGTTCAAAACACATTAGGAATCCTTGAATACTTTTGTACAAATGCATTTGAACTGATGGAAGCCACCATGAGGGATGTGCAGGCAACAGAAAAGCAGGGTAAAAATGGCCTTATTACCGTAACAAACTGCTGCTTTGACAAATAACTTTACAAATGCATTTGATTTCCTGAGAAGAATTTGGGATTTATTTATTTTCTCTCTCTCCACTTTTCAGCCAATTGTGTAGATAAAGTGCTGACTGCAAGATCTGGAGAAATTTCCAGTCCACGTTATCCCAACCCATATCCCAAACTCTCCCAGTGCAATTATGGGATCCAGGTGGAAGATGGATACATGGTCGTCTTGGAATTTGTGGGAAGCTTTGATGTAGAGACCCACCCAGAAGTGGAATGCCCCTATGACATCCTTAAGGTCAGTTGGACCTGCTCACCAGGTCTTCTACTACTAAAGAAACTTGTTTTCTGTACGGTCGACACCAGTTAAGTTGTATCCAATGCTAGTAGTCCTATTCAGAACAGGCCCAATGAAATGGCTAACTTAGGCCCAATCAGTTTCAATGGGTCTACTCTGAGTAGGACTTGGCTGGCTACAATCCTGCACCAATGAAGAGCTGAGGACACTGCAATGCCCCAATGCATGGCAGCAAATTGCAGTTACTTCTGGGGGCACCTAACTGGAATGCTTGAACTGTTATCAGTTTTCACATCCGTCTCCCATTACAAAGAATTCAGATACTCTTACATCCACACTAAATCCCCATACAAATAAAATAAAATAGAATCACATGTACTGAGAATGTTGAAGTTGGTTGCATGTATTTATGGACCAGGTAGCTACAAAATAGACTTGGGGTAGATGGCTAAACTGGTGCATCCAGCCCAATATCTACTCTAGCTGGTAGTGGCTCTCCAGGGTAGCAGCCCCCAGGCATTCCCCTCTTGGAAGCCCAAGTTATGCCTACCATAAAGTATACCCTGGACCCCCTAAGCTAGTCTGCTGTCCCCTTGGGGTGGGGATACTGTCCCACTGCCAGTGTTTCAATATTTGGGTGCCAAACCGGGAAGCTTCTATATTTGGAACCAGTAGCCCTCATCCCTGGAGTTGCTCAGGAACTTTAACAAGCAAAAAGAAAAAACACACAATAAAATCAGTGCAGGTTTGAAGGGCTCAGTCTGCCATCGTGATTCAAAACAGGCATCCCATTTTATCCAAGGTAAAACCCTGCTCATTAATCTCAGGAACCATCGTTCAAAACTTGGTTACAGTATCTTAAGAGGTGCCCAAATGCATAGCGAACAAGCCATTTTCCAAAATAAACAGTAGATCGAAATGGGGGGAGGGGGGATCAGCCCATGATGGAAGAAAGGTTGGGATGTTTCCCTTCACTGTTTCAGATCAAAACACCCAAGCAAGAATTTGGCCCGTTCTGTGGGGACACCCTCCCTATGAAAATTGAAACCCGTAGCAACACCGTCAACATCCAGTTCACCACGGACCTCTCTGGAGATCACACAGGATGGAAAATCAGATATATCACAACAGGTAAGATTATTGCTTTTAACCAAAGAGCAGGCAGCAGTGAAGTTCTGTTGGGTACACATATCATTTCCTGGCTCCTAGGGAGCCCTGGGAATGGTAGCTCTGTGAGGGGGCCGAGTTATGGTCCTCCAGCTCTGGGGCACAAGGATGCCAAGCTGCAGGAAGCCACAGGATCCTGAGGAAGCTGCTTCTTATTAGCTGTTGGTCAACTGGTTCAGTACTGTCTACCGTTGTGACAGGTAAGGCATGAGGTAGGGATACCAGCAGTAAGTGCCAATGACAGGCAGAGCCACCTGCTGACTAGCTGTACGTAAGGAGGAAGGCAGGTGTGGGCTGACTGAGAGCAGACCGAGGCTGTTGAGGCTGGGCCCCAATTCCCCTAATAGATCAGCTTCCACCATCTACTACTCTATCTGTTATCAGCCCTCCAGGCTCTCAGGCAGATTTCTTTCCCCATCATGGATGTTTTAAGAAATAATGCCAGCTTGAGACTTGTCCCATGTCTGCGCCTTCTAAGGATGCTCATTTTCCTCCCTAGTTCTTTAACTATCAACAGGTAGAGGACCTAAAGAAGTTGTCCTATATCCAGTGCTATTTTTCTAGAAAAGAGGTGCTGGAACTCACCATCAATGCCTTCCTTGTTCTCTTAAAATGGCAATGGCACCCACCTGAGAGTTGCCAGAACCCACCTAAGACGCGCCAGAACTGAGTTCCCCCAAGTTCTGGCTGAAAACCCCCCTGCTTATACCTAGTCAGAGTTTATCAAGATTAGTAATGTCTACGTTGAGTAGCAATAGTTCTCCAGGGCATGCCCAGGAACGAACCTGGAACCTTCTGAATACAAAGCACGTGTTACATAACTGAGCTAGGTCGTTCCCTACACAGGCCAAAGTCCATCAAGCTCACTGTTGTCTAATCTGAGTAGTGGGCAAGCTCCAACAGGGCTCTTATTATTTATATATGCTCTTGCATTTTTTGAATTACAGCTCCCATCATCTCTTACCATTGAGTCATGCTGGTGTGGTTGATGGAGCCCAACAACAGCTCAAGGGCCACAGGGGAGCCACAATCCAGAGCTAGATGGACTAATGCTCTTCTAAGGCACCTTCCTATTTACAACACAAGCAACTGCAGAAGGAACAAATTAGCCATCATTTCAACTGTGGGATTAAGCAGGATGTAGTGTGAGAGCGCCACCTCCCCCACATATTAGTATGGACGCAAGATCTGAATCTGCTTTGACAGGAAATGGCAATGATGTGTTTTTTTGTTGTTCTTCAACTTTCTGCAGCATTGCCGTGCCCCAACCCTGAAGCGCCACCCAATGGCCACATCTATCCAGTGCAAGAAAAATATATTATGAAAGAGTCCTACAATCTCTCCTGCGATATCGGCTACGCACTCTTGGAAGTAGGTAAAACCATCCCTTGCGGTGCACACCTGAGCATATGGGTATACTATTTAACTGAGGAACCAAAGCAGTTTTATGTATTCACAGCAAATATGACTTTCTGAGTGCCATGGCCAAAACAACTTGAGGGAACGCCAGCCTTGGGAGAGGGGGAGAATATTTAGTGGGCAGCTGGGGGTGGGAAATCATGGGGGTATGGAATGGAGTATCCTGGAAGAGAGCATGGCTGGCTAGATAGCATATCTGCACCTAACACTGAGGCATAAAGGCTTGCACTGGCTGCACATGTTACCAGGCAAGGTTCAAGTTTCTTGCACTGATTTGCAAGGCCCTTAGTAACTTGGTCTCCCTGTGGCTCCAGGGCCGTATCTAGAGGGTGGCAAGGTGGGGCCCCACTACGGGCACAAAATCAGCTAAAAATATGTCCATTAATATGTCTATAAATAAAAATACTGATTATTGCCTCATAAGAAAAGGTTTTAAAAAGAGGGTGAATTGAAGGGGGGGTTGGAGGAGAGGTGGAAAGAAGAGCTAATTTGTCAGTCGCTAGGGGGCACAATCTGGACAGTTCTGCCAATGGCGCAAGATCACCTAGCTACGGCTCTGTGTGGCTCAGAGGTAACTATCGGAAGTCACACATTTAGTGTTGTGGGCCCAAACCTATGCAACTCCCACTGTGGCTGAGTTTAGACTGGCTCTCCCCTGCTGAACATAAGGCACTTGACAAACCCCCTCTAAGTTTTTGTCATATTGATCCAACCAAAGCATATTTAGAGTAGACCCATTGGTTCTAATCAGTGCTTTCGGGGGGTAAACAGGGGTATGCATACCCCTAAACATTTTGTGAATCTAAGTTTGGCCTCATTGAGGGGCAGTATTTCAATATGAGTAGGAAAATGAAAGTACCCCTAAACATTTTTGGGGGGACCACTGGTTCTAATAGGTCTACTCTGCATTAGGGATGGGCAAATATTTTGTTTCTTGTTTTTTCGGTCTTAAGTTTCATTTTCCTCACTACCGTATCAGTTTGTGATTAATTTAAAGGCCATTGGAATATTCACCAGCATTTAAGTGTGAATTTCCCAATACACATTTTTTTTATATGCAATTAAACCTAATGTGCATTTTGAAAAGCTATTTTCCTAATGCAATGTGTTCCTTTGCATTATTTTTTGTAATTTATTTATAAGCACACATTACATTAGTCTATGCATTTTACTTGGCTGGAGAACTAGATTCCATAATTCAGAGAAGTGCAGATTTTAAAGGAGAGCCATGTTTCAGTTCACATATTATTTCAGAAAGTGCGAATCAAGTAAGTCTGCCATTAAATGAAAAGTGAATCAAAATTCTCTCTGAACCCTATCTTGGACATAACTAACACTGAATATCACCCATTATTGAAAACTAACGGCAAACACGTTCTCGCAGGCTGAACTAGACATATTTCCCCACCGGGGAAAATCCATTTGGGCTGTCAAAGCTATGATTGTTTTCAAGAAAATAAATAGGATTTCTGTTTTCCTCTTTCCCTCCCACAGAATGAGATGATTGTGGAATCTTTCATGGCGATATGTCAAAAGGACGGCTCCTGGAACAAGCCAATGGCTCAGTGCATCAGTAAGTCAATGCGAAGGAGTGGGTGGAGGGAGGTCTTTGGATTTGTAATATTCAGATGGATTACTGGTTTAATTATTTCTTTTGGGAATCCATATTGTGTTTGACAGAATGAAGCAGTCTTGCACACAAAAAAAGCGTAGGAGGCAAAGCATGCTTGAATCAGAGCATAATAAAATTTGTTTTAATTGGAATATTCTCAGTGGGAGTACAGATCAACAGGCACCCAAAATTCAGCTGCAGAGTTGCTATCAGGGTTTTAAAAGTTTCCATCATTTTCTTCTGGCAGGGCTCCTACGCTTTTAATGGAAAAACCTGGATTTTTCCACTTGTTTTTCTTCTTTAATTTGATTTTAATATCCAAAAGCCACCTTGGAGATGGGAAAAAGTAGGAAGCTGTAAACTTAGTTATTTTATTGACAATATTTATAGGCTGTGCAGGAACAAGAGTTCTCATTGCAGCTCCAAAATGTTTTATATTTTAAATACTTTACGTAGGCTTGCCATGTCAGGAAAATTCCTGACAAGTCCTGTTTTGGGGTGTAAAAATGGCATCGGGGGCAATTTTGCCGAATCATCAACATGATGGAAAAAGCAGCAGAAACAGCTCAAAAAGTTTAAAATCACTATTTTTGGGTTAGGTTTCCAAAAAAAAAGCCTCAGATTTGTGGGTGGCAGGAATTTTACTTTCTGAAATATGGCAACTCTATTTTGTGGACTGCAGCCTTCACAATGAATAAATCCAAAGCTTTGGGGTCTTTATAATATATCTGCTGATTCCCCTTTGAATTTGGATTCTACTGGTTCAGTTGTTCTGTAAGGACAGGGCTCTGGGGTAGATATCAAGGGCACAATTCAGCAAAATGAGCAGGAGTGAACAGAGGTCTCTTGAACTGCCATCCAGAGCATGATCAACAAGGAGAATTGAGGCAAACAGGCCCCACCACCAGCACGTGGGTCAACATGGGCACACTAAGAACCACCAAGGCTGACACTGATTGCCATATATTTCCCCCCAAAAAATGTTTTATAGTTGGGGCAGCTCACTGGGCATGTGTATGGATGAGTATAGATTGTTTTTATTACCTTAAAATATGTTTTAGCCCTCCCATCAACAAAATGGTTGTTTATTCAAAAGAGAGCAGCAGAAGCCAGCTCCTCCATTTTATTCCTGTAGTCATGATGGTGCTCACTGGAGCATGTTTAAACTACACATGCTCAGTGTTTCATTAGGTTTGGAAAACTTTTTTAAAAAATCAAACTCATAATCAGAAATGTAGTTCTTGTCGCAAAGCATGAAATGGCAGTGAAGGGGAGAAATGTTAAGTGTGTGCTTCACGACATGGCCCTTCAACAAAGAGTCTTGTAAGATCATTGGGCAGTAAGCAATGAAGGAGTTCCATTAGTTAGCGGTTAACAGAACTATATAGGGACGTGGGTGGCGCTGTGGGTTAAACCACAGAGCCTAGGACTTGCTCATCAGAAGGTCGGCAGTTGGAATCCCTGCGACGGGGTGAGCTCCCGTTGCTTGGTCCCTGCTCCTGCCAACCTAGCAGTTCAAAAGTACGTCAAAGTGCAAGTAGATAAATAGGTACCGCTCTGGCGGGAAGGCAAACGGCGTTTCTGTGCGCTGCTCTGGTTTGCCAGAAGCAGCTTAGTCATGCTGGCCACATGACTTGGAAGCTGTACGCCAGCTCCCTCGGCCAATAAAGCGAGATGAGCGCCGCAACCCCAGAGTCGGCCACGACTGGACCTAATGATCAGAGGTACCTTTACCTTTAACAGAACTATGATGTTAGGTAACTTTAGATGATGGACTCTAGGGGTAGTATCTATCTGTACCATTTTCTTCAGCAGACATTTAATCTATTTAACTTGGATGTGCAGCCTACAGTGATGTAGCTCACACTGCAGAGAAGAGTCTGCAATGGTAAAGGATGTGCTTGCGATAATACAATGGTCCCACAAGCGATGCTCGTTCCCACACGCTGACCCCCTACTTTCCACAGGTCTACTTTTAAATTCAAAGGCTGACCTGATAACATGGTAAGCATCTGTGAACCCACCGCAAGTACAGGGAGTGAATGCCCACATAAAATGTGTGTGTGAAATAGCATTTTCACTAGCACCAGTTCATACTGTACTGGTAAGATACAGGCTGAGTTAAGAACATAGGAAGCCACCCAATAGTACTTCTGTTTATCCATGTAGCTGAAGATTCAAGCAAGGATATTTTTTGTCAACTCCTATCTGATTCTTTGCACTAGGACAGCTTGTCTCAATATAGCATCCTCCAGAGGTTCTGAACTACAATTCCCATCAGCCCTGAGGCGCACAATATGGGAGCTGTAGTCCAAAACATCCATAAGGTAGCTAAGATGCAGAAGGTTGTTCCAGATACCAGGGACTGAATATAGCACTTTCTACATACAAAACAGGGACGCGGGTGGCGCTGTGGGTTAAACCACAGAGCCTAGGACTTGTCGATCAGAAGGTTGGTGGTTCGAATCCCCGCGGCGGGGTGCGCTCCCGTTGCTCGGTCCCAGCGCCTGCCAACCTAGCAGTTCGAAAGCACCCCCGGGTGCAAGTAGATAAATAGGGACCGCTTACTAGCGGGAAGGTAAACGGCGTTTCCGTGTGCTGCGCTGGCTCGCCAGATGCAGCTTGTCACGCTGGCCACGTGACCCGGAAGTGTCTCCGGACATCGCTGGCCCCCGGCCTCTTAAGTGAGATGGGCGCACAACCCTAGAGTCGGACACGACTGGCCCGTACGGGCAGGGGTACCTTTACCTTTACATACAAAACAGGTAACCTGTTACTGAAAGCTTTGGTTCTTTTCCAGTCTAGCTAGTCCTAGGTTTCCCTCACCCAGTCTTACAAAGCATTTTAAAACTGTTGTTGCTCCATTCTTTTCAGTTGTTGACTGTGGTCCAGCCGAGGACACAGCAAACGGTGCACTTGTGTACGTCACAGGGCCTGATAGAACTACATACCAGACTGAGATCAAATACAAATGCGAGAGCCCCTACTATGCTCTGAAAGCCGGACGTTCTGGTAAGATAAATGAGTTTAAGGGAGCATGGGCTTGATACACACATCTTTAAATGTAAACCCCATTGTCCCAAATGGGACAATCGCACTAGGACCTACTTTGCAGTATTCTTGTTTAGCCAGCCATGACCTCTTTCAGGATACTTCGTTCTATCTCCCCCTGCAGTCAGCCAGCATTCCATGGCCACTGAGCCTTCTTCGTTGGGCTGTTTTACGGTGCTTCTCCATTTAGAGGTTTCTCCCCGGCTTCCAAAATGTTCTGCCTACTTCTCCAAATGTTTAGTCCTAACAAGCCTGCAGCTACCTCCTTTCTTGGGCTTGTATGGTGTCATTTTGGCTACCAGTGAATCAACACTTGAGGGCAGAGTTCTCTATTGGCCTTTTATGATATCGCATCAGTGTTTAGTCATGCCTCTTGACTGAAAAGCAAAGTGCCATAAATGTATCTGTAATGGGCTCAACAGTGGTTGACATTTGCATGCATATCCTCCACCCAGCAAGTGGTTGTGCTGCTGTGATGTCACAGCATGTTCACACACATAATCCACAGTCACTGCAGCATACCCGAGTATTCCTCAACCAAGCAACTCATGATTATCCAGCCGAGACACCTCACGGGGTTTAGGGAAGATAAAAATGCAAAACTGGTAGGAAATAGATTTACATACTTAGGAACAGCAAAAAGTCTGAAAGAGCTGGATTTTTCAGCGATTCGAAGAAGCCAGCTGTATATTTGGGGCAATTTAACAACATTTATATACCTCTTGATTGTAGTAAAACCTCCAAGCAGTTTTATTGTAGAGTGCTTTGCTCTGTGCAGACATCTAAACTGCTTAACTTTTTAATGTAGGCAGGTACCTGTGCGCCCCTGATGGCTACTGGAGAGATTCCATGGGAAACAAAGCACCTCCTATATGTGAGACAGGTAATGTATGAAACCACAGGTTCCCCACTCCTGCCATACATAGCCAGGCGACACTTCACAAGATAAATGGCCTGGAAACATCTTGTTTTCTCCCCCTCTCCAAATTCACTTCAGAAGTTGAAATATTTTTGACTGATGTTGAATGTATGAAGTACTGTATCCCATTTTGTCACCATCACTCCCACCTCAGTTTTGACCAGGAATGGAGAACCTGTGGTTCTCTTCAGCCCCATCCACCATAGCCAACAGCCAGGGACAGTGGAAGTTACAGCAGCTAGAGGACCTCAGGTTCCCCATTCCCGACTTTTGTCTTCACAGACTTTAAAATGTTGCAAAGCAGCCTTTATACCTTATCCTACCCATCAGCCCCCTTTCTCTTAACTCATCCAGAGCTAGAGATCCAACATCTGGAGGGCTGCATCTTCCCCATTCCTGACCAAAGACAATGCCATGTCCCAAAAGAGAAAGTTACAGCCATTGAGTTAGAGGCAGATGTTGCAGGCCATCTAGCCCAACATCTGCTCACTGCAGAAAATCAAAAGGTACAGCATCTTTAACAGATGGTTGCCTGGCCTCTATATGAAAGACTTCCAGCAAGGGAGAACCCACACCCCTCCAGGGAATTTGTTCCATTTTTAAATTGCTTCCACCATCAAGAGCAGTTGCTTAATGTTCACTTAAACTCTACCCTCCAGTATAACATAAAACCATTAGATCTAGCCTTGCCCCCTAGGGTAACCAAGAACAAATCCCCTCTTCTATACAACCCTTCAAGGTATCTGAAGAAAGCTATCATGTTCCACTCAGGTGGAATCTAGACCATATAAAAAACACGGAAAATGCTTTTTAAAAAAAGTTTTGAAAAATATATTGAATTTGCCATAGCTCGTCATCACCATCTAGTGTCACATTTGTATAATGCACTTTACAACACACTTAAAACATATTTGCAGCTGTATAGCTGCCTCCATAGCCTTCTGTTGTTCAGGCTAAAAAGTATCCAGTTACCAAACAGTTCTAGGTAATACAATTTTTTCCCTGCAAAAAGGAAGGGAGAATGGCCTATCTTAAATTGTTTGTGTGCCACCTTTCATTTCAAAGCAATGGCAAAGAGATCTACAACAAAATGAGTAGCATATATCAAAAACATAATGAAAGTGTCTTCACCAAAACTGCAGTAAAACCCCCATTGCAATCAGTTAAAGTAAGTAGCCAAAAATGCCAGGAACTGGCATTAACACCATAAGGATGTTACTACCAACAGGAACACACAAAAATCAGTATCTCCCTTATCTCCAAGAGATTATTCTACAAAGTAGATGCCACAATGGAATTAGCCATTTATTCTCCATACTACAGTGGTACCTCTGTTTAGGAACGCTTCTGGTTATGAACGCTTCAGGTTATGAGCTTTGCTAACCTGGAAGTAGCTGCTCCTGGTTTTGAACTTTGCCCCAGGACGCAAACGGAAATCACGCGCAACAGCGGGAGGCCCCATTAGTGAAAGCGCACCTCATGATAAGAAGTTTCAGCTTAAGAACGGACCTCCGGAACAAATTAAGTTTGTAACCAGAGGTACCACTGTACTGTAAAATTGACAGCTAGAGGCTGGGTTTTTTTGTTTTCAGGCATACTGCATCTTTCAAATGAGATCAACCTTCCACAACTTGCTGCCCTCCAGATGTTTTGACAACAGCTCCCATCAGCCCCAGTCAATCTGGACAAGGGTCAGGGATTGTGGGAGTTGTAAATTCAAAATGGAAACATGGGATTACCATGAAGTGTTCTCTGGTCAGCAGGGAAAGCAGAACATGCAAGAAATGATTAAAACCTCTTCTAAAAGACAGAGTCAACAACACAAAAGAGTGTTTACTGAGGCCCTCAGGAAAAGGGAACCTATTCCCCAGTCCCATCTTGGCCATAACTTTGAGGAGAAAACCTCCATACACTAACTAGAACAAACACAAATTAAAAGCAGAACAGAAACAAAAATGAAAGTCAAAAGGGCCACAGACGAAAAATGCCAGGACCCTAAATAAAGAGGAACTGTGTAAATTTGAGCATATAAGGCAATTTACATAACATCTACACACCAGGTTTAGCTCATTTCTATATATTCCAGACGACTGACTTCTTTGCCTACAGAGGTTCCGAGATTCAAGCCCCAACATATCCAAGTAGATATGAGAAACCTCCTGACAGAAACCCTGAACTCACTATCAGACAATGAAAGTCTATACTAGACACCAGATGTAGCAAAACTGTTTTAGGCTAATGACCATGTAGCCTTTGGGTGAGTGCACTCTCATTTTGACCCCTGGCCTTGATACTCCTCATCCCTGCTCCAGGCAATATTGAGTTAAATGAACCAAACGTCCAGCTACGCACCAGGCATGCATATTATTCCTATGAAAATACCCCCAACCCACACATGATGGAACCCTCCCACAATTGTGTTGAACACAGGTAGGGTACTCCAACTCAGAAGCTCCCAGCATAGGGTAAACTACCCTGTTAAGAAATTGGCCTGACATGCCAGCTTTTTCTGGGCAGAGAATTTGAAAAGGACAGAGTACAGGCTGTCCCTCACCCACCCAAGCCACTCCCCTCTTTGGATCAGGCTACCATTCTACAGCTGTTCTCACTTAAAATTCAGGACTTCTTTCAGAAACATTCATTTTGAACTATAAGCAATATTCATGACAGTTAAAAGTCTTGCTTCTCTAATGGAACCCTAACACTATTCGTTCTCTCTCTCTCTCCATGCCCCCCCCCAAAGTTTGTGGAATCCAAACTTCAAATACTCTGAAGCGCATTTTTGGTGGAAAGAAGGCACTGCCTGGCCAGTTCCCTTGGCAAGTTCTGATCACTAATGGACAAGGAGCAACTGGGGGTGGAGCTCTTTTGTACGATAACTGGATCTTAACAGCTGCCCACGTCCTCCCAGAAGCAGACGCTTCGTCCTTGACACTGAAATTGGGGCTTCTAAGAAAGCGAAGCACTCACTACCACCAGGCCTGGGCAGAATCTGTTTTTGTGCATGAAGGGTTTACCAACGATGGCATCAATTTTAACAATGATATTGCTTTGATCAAACTGAAGAACAAAGTCCCCATTAATGCAAACATGACTCCCATTTGCTTGCCAGGACAAAGCAGCAGGTTCCACATAAACACAACCAACACTGGTGTAGTAGCTGGGTGGGGGAGAACAGAGAAAAGGATGCAGTCACACAGCCTGATGTACACTGAGCTAGATGTGGTTGATCCAGAGAAGTGTAAAGCTGCTTATGCAAACCAGACTTTGGAGGGGAAGCAACTAGTGTTGACAGAAAACATGTTCTGTGCTGGATATGAACAAGGAGGAAGAGATTCCTGTAGCGGCGATAGTGGCGGGTCACTGGTGTTTTTTGATGCCGAAACAAAGAGGTGGTTTGCAGGCGGCATTGTGTCCTGGGGTCCTCCAGAGTGTGGTTCTGCAGAGCTGTATGGTGTATACACTAAAGTGATCAACTACATTTCCTGGATTGAAGACATCATTTCCCAAAATTCTTGATTATTATTTTTTACCATTTCATTTGTATCACATTACCAAGAAAAGAAAAGCTTTACACAGAATTACAATTACGCAAGAAATAAAAAAATATAGTACATTAACTGGGACTTCAATTTTAGGTAAATATGCCGAAGATCAAGCAGTAAATGCTTCCAGGTTATTCAATGTACAGCAGAACCCTGTGCATGTTTACTCAAAATCATATGCTACTGAGGGAATTCAGTGTTGTGAGCTACTGAAGCAGGGAAGGCAGCATGTTTTCAAAGAAAATGAAGCACACTCCATGTAAAATTAGGTATCATTTCACATGCCTCTCGCGTGCTTGTTCTACTTTTGGGGAATAGGGGGGAGCTGTTTACCCCCCCCCCCAACAGCTGGACCTTTAAAGTTGTTGTTTTTCCCTACTCCCCTGGAGCAAGTGCCATACAACAGTTTCATAAGTTCAATGCAACATGTTTCTTCTTCCAAATTTAAATGTTAATTAAAAAAAACAAATGTGTGCACTCTATTGCTCTCCTCAGCAGAGGTACATCAGGATTTCTGTTCCTTCTGGGGGTACACGAGTGGGTCTTAATGACCATCTGAAAAGTTTCCTATTAATGATCCTCAACAAAGAGTTATAAGAGATGTAATATGTTGATCATCACAACCAGATGGTTCATAGAGGTGGTAAAAGAATCCAGTCCCTAAAGTCACTTAGTATCTCTTAGTGACGTGCTTCAAGATTCTAAGCTGTTGCTTTTTTACCACTTCCATTGCCACCGACAATATTACCTTCTACAAATTCCTCCACTCACTGTCCTAACTGCAGGCATTGGTCCTAATGGTATTAAACTTCCTTCCAGAACAGATTAAAGAGCCCAATCTTAACTAGCTGGTGATTAAGTTCAAGGGCTTCATTTTCTGTTTTGTCAATCTACATCTAGTAGCTCCCCAAAATTATGCAAACTCTGACAAAGCTGTAGCACCCATGGAACTCCCCTGTGCCCTACTACTGAGAAAAGATTTCAGAAACTATTCTGTTCTTATAAGCAGGGTGTACTCACAGCCAAAACAGATACATACAGCTCAGAGGAATAGGACAAGACCCCCAGAGGTGCTGTTTAATCAGCTGCAACATTACATTTGCAACTGCTGAGACCAAAGCACTCCAAGACTCAATTCACACCCACACAAATTTGGACTGCAAGAGGAAATTGTCAACACTACATCTATTTGAGTAGCATCGCCTCAGTAATTAAGAGATGCTCAGTAGGTAACCGAAACACACAAACACATTTGCTCACATAGGGCCTTTGTTAAATTACTATGCTGTTTATTACTAAATGAAGCTCATTAGCAAGATAATCCTTCTAGCGGTGTTAAACTGACTGTGCTCCTTATTTGACACTTTAAATCACATTAGCATAATAGATGCAAGTCTATTGAAAGTTAAAGCAAAACAAGACTCGACACTCAAGTTATGAGAATACCTTTTATTAACTTGCTTTAACACACTGGTGGAAATAAAAATTAAAGATATGAATAATGTTTGAAAACATTTCTTAATACACTTAGGTATCTGAGGGAGGGGAGAGAAGAACCCTTAGTGATCTACTGGGATTAAAATATCACAGCATGTGTTCCCCCTTGGCCCTAAACTTTTTTTAAAAAAGACAAGTTAAAAATAATTTAAACCATGCCAGCGATGTATTAAACTTACCCTTATGATCCTTCCCGAGATGACACAGTTTAGCCTTTGGAGGTCCGAGAATACCATATTAAGTGTTACTCAGCAGCAGTAGCTGGTATTAGTGCAAGTGCTAAAATGCAAAATTCAGATGGTACAGAGTTTGGCAATGGATGTGACTTAGGTGCAGAAAAGGTTAAGCAATTTATTCAAGAATATCTGTTCTCTGGAATAGTCAGATTTGTTTTACAATGAGAGGCAGGTGCTGGAGTATGTGTGGATTTTAGCAATAAACAGCAATGCCAGTATGAACACCCAACAACACGTTTTAAGTGTCCATATCAGTCTTTTAAAGAGAAAGAATATAAACTGCAGATTGAAGGGAAAATGGAAGCTAACTTTTCAGGGTTTGGGGAAAATTCACAATGAAACAGCACTATACCAGTTTTCCAGAGTCTGCAAAATGGAAGCTGTAAAATTTAAATCAAGTAATGGAATGACCCTCGTGATTTAACAAATTTAACAAGTTTTTAGGACTACTGAGTCGACAACCTTGTCGATTCTGCTCCTTTACACAGGAAAACCTAACACTTCTACTAACACATGGTTAAGTGGATGTCCTTTATGGTGAAACCAACTGAGGACTTAATACTGTAGCCCACCAATTCAGTCACATAAAACAGAATACACTGGAGCCTCAATACCACAGGTATGCTGAGAGTTTTGGCTCTTGTCTCCAACACTCAGTCTTCTAAAGGGAACTGCTCATCAGGGATGGGATACCTCATTTGGCAGAACCGGATTTCAGATGTGTATCATCACAAAATGCTACGCAGATGGGACTTGAGTGGAGCTACAGGGTTCAACTACATTGATGGAACAGCAAACTTAAAACAGCAAATAAATTTTTACAACAGTTTTATCCCAACATAAGATATAAAAAAACAAAGTTAACTGCTATGAACTCTTTGCATTTGGGGGCTGTCAAACACACACACATATTACTTAAATCAGTTTTATTTAAGAATGTCCTACATTGACAAATCTTATAAAAAGCATCCAAACACAGAACTGCAGCAAACAGCATTCATATGGATATCTTACAGACAGAAAAAATCTTCCACCCATAAGGGAACCCCCAAGCTCGGAAGTGAGCTCTGCTACAAAAAAAAAACCAAAAAAAAAAAAAGACCCACAAAGCACACCACAAGCTGGATGTTCCCATCAAAAGCCCCACCTTCAGTTCACGTTACCACACTTACAGGATCATTAAACAGAAAAGAACACACACCATACAGCATTCACAGCAGAGTTGACATAAAGGAGAAAAAATATATATACAGATATTCATTTCACTTAACACATCCAACTAATCGGTTAACTAAGTAAAAAGCCCCCCCACTTAAGTTCTTCCAGATCACGATGTCCTTCTGAATGCAAGAAAAACACTCGTACGTCCGCTCCCAATGCTCTCTCCGCACACTCTCACCAAAGCCACAGGATCGAGGGACATCGTGCCAAGAATTTTTGTTTTTATTTTTTAAAAAATCCCAAAATGCACCACCAGGTCTCTCTCTTGCATGCGCCTCCTCCTTTTTCTCGCACATACCAAGCCCTCACATGCCTCGGCACCACCAATCCAATCCAATCCCACACAAGGTTTTTCAAAAGTTCAAACAAGCCTTCTGGTTCCATCTCACAGCCTTGCGTTCATAGCGTTGAATACGACTCCATGAAATAAAAAGAGTAGCGGATAAAAATGGAACACCCACCGTCTTAAGACGTAGCATGTGCAGTGTGATGAAGGAGTCTTGGATGAGGAAAGCATGGAGACAGGAGTATTCCTAAGGCAGGTTTTTTTTAACTGCACTGCTTTCAATGAAGTGCTTCTTCCATACACATTTGAAATGAGATGAACTGCAAGGATTAAATGAGGTCTTCATACCGTACTTTAGTATGAGGAGGGGAGACAGTGTTAAAAGGAAAAAAAGCCGACACCAACATTGCATTCTCCACACAGGACATTTGGGGGAGGGGGAGGGAGAGAAAGAGAGAGAAAAATTCTTATGGCGGGGGATCAAATTAAATTTTTAAAGAAAAAAAACTAACAAGGAAAGGATGCTGTTTCTGAAAAATGGCTTCCATTTTTGAAACATGCAAAGATCTCAGCTGACTAGGAAATGAGGAATCAAATTTTTACGAATTCCTATCAAATTGCAGAGCGTCCGTTTACCAGTCAGGCGAACAGCAGTTCACTTTCAAACCACTCAATATCCCAACTCATGTATTCCAACTCATTGTAACAAAACCTATAAAACTCCATTTAATCTTCCTTTTATTCCCCATTAGAAAAGAAAAATTTGTCAAAAATATTGTTGAAATATACTACACGCTGAACAAATTTGGATTTTTTTTTGTTTAGTTTTGTTTCAGTATATGCATCTTATAATATACTTACCAGGAGCTCTAGAAAAAAAATCTGATTTCCCACCACAGAGTCAGTTATTAGGTTGCCTACATTCCCCAGCCAGATGATTTGGATTCCATGCTTGAGCCAAAACCGCCATTAAAACCACTGCTAGAGCCCGTATTTGATGAGCCCCACCCTATTGCTGCACCCGAGTTAGAGCCTCCGTAAGAATTACTCCCTGAACTAAAGCCCTGGCTCTGCTCCCTCTGCATGTTGCCTTGTGGCTGGTTGTTCCCCGATGGCCCAGACTGGTTTTGCTGGCTAGCTAGCATGCCCATCATCCCCCAACTGCTTTGGAGCGCTGCCTGAGCTGCTGCCATCATGGCTGGGTTGATACTAAAGGCTCCAAAGTTCATCCCACCACCCATGTTACTGCCCTGGTTGTTTCCCAACCCTCCACCTCCACCACCTCCCCCCCGGTTAGGAAATCCACCCTGATTCCCAAAGCCTCCTGGATTACCACCAAATCTTCCACCTCTTTCTAGTTGTCTACTGCTATTATGCTTAGGTTCAGCATTGGATATATGGACGCTGATTCCTTTTATGATCAAGTCCTCGCCACAAAGGGACTGGGCAACCTATAAGAAATAAGGTACACAGACTGAGTAACTTTGAAAACAAAAATCAGGCACAAGCAAGCAACTTTAAACCGAAGTAACATACAAAACTATAGGGCTTAATTTTATGCTTATCCTGGTCTATGACAGTAAAAAAGTACAATGGTCCCCTCATTGCAATGGAAAATTCAGTCCGCGTAAAGAATGACACTGTAGAATGAGAACATTCCATTTTAAGTGCACTGGACCTCTTTACTGTTTCTGCTCAATATGAACAGCCAAGGGAAGAAGCAGCACATTTGCTCACATCACCTTCATTTAAGACAAAGATGCTATCTTTATATCAATGACAATTTATACAGTTTACTGTTCAGTAAGATTACTTTGCACAGACTTGTAAACAGTGACTCAACAACTGGTCTGTGGCAAGAACATACTGCTTCTCAGCAACAAGCTGAAAAGGTTCTAGAACTAGGAGTTTTTTCCTCTTCACCGCTCAGTCTCCTTTCAATCACTTGGTGTGCTACAAATGCGCAATATGTATGCTTAGACAATTAAGGCAATAAGTTTAGAGGCTACTAATTCCACTGGACAAGGCTTGCCTTGTGTCTAGCTCTGCAACTGAACACTGACAAGTTGGATAAGTATTCAGCTACATCTGTTAAGCAAGTCGGTGAACAGGGGTACCTCCAGGGTCAAGCTTTCCAAATTTCCACCTTAAGAGTGAACGTGATATGCACCCAATAGGAATGCTATTAATAGAGTCATAGAACTGTAGATTTGGAAAGGATCATCTAGTCCAACCCCCCACAATGCAGGAATCTCAGCTAAAGTATTTATGAAAGATGGCCATTCAATAGGACAGCAATTAGTCTGTCTTAACACTCATAAGCCTGCTGCACAAGGTTTTTATACACAATAAGTAAACAGAAACTTAATGAACAATGATTAAGAATAAGTTGCCCACACATCAGCAAAAATCAGGGCCCTGAATGAATACCTGATCATCAGCAAACGTAACAAAAGCAAAAGCTCTGAAGGGTTTGGGGATGAAGACATCAACCACTTCTCCATACTGGGAAAAAAACTGACGGAGCTCATCTGCAGTCATGTCGTCGGTGCAACGCCCAACAAACACCTTCCTGCTACGCAAAGGTTCATCTGGACTTTGCTGGTGTCAATGCAGAACAAAAGATTTCAATTAATACAAATGTTTTTGCCTAGCTATTGTAATAACCAACATACCGACGCAGTTGTACGCACCACAAGAGCCGACAGATTTTCCAGCTAAACAGAAACTAACCATGAAACCCATTCTAGATTCTGTAACTGTATCTTTTGATGCTCAAATGTATAGTAACATAGGATTAGAAACAGACTAGCAAACAAGGAATGTTACAATCTAAACACAGAACTTGTGCCAAGCTTAGAAGACAGTTAATTATACTGTAAACATTTTTGAGAAACTGGGAGAAGCAGCACAACCATTTCTTGTTTCACCTGCACTCCTAGACAAACGCTGCAAGAAATTAACATGACATGCTGGCTACAATAGTAAGAACACTTCCTTGAAGTTCTTTTTCAGAAATGGGGAACCTCAGGCTTGGGGATCAAATGTGAGCCTCCAAGCCCCTCTACTTGGTCCTGGAGATTTCACCATGCCATACCCGTACTTGGCAGCCCATATCCTTCATCAGCCTTGCTTTGCACCCAAAACTGAGCATTTTTACCTGGCTGAAATGTGTGCTTGAAGTCTGATAATGCTTTTTGCTTGCCTGGAATATAGGAGGCTCTGTGGGATGTGTAGAAACTAGCCCATTGATAAAGGCAACACCAAAATACTCAGGCTGCATTTGCCACTAACCCCTCCTACCACAAGCATACGGCCCCTGAAAGGTTGCTCAGGTGGTCTGAAAAAGGTTCCTAAGCCCTGTTCTATATGGAACAGTGAGTGAATAGCCAGAACCCAAAGAACTATTTCAGTTGTGATCAAAGGGACTTGTCTGCTGTTCCTCTTTAACCAATTTTGAAAAGTGCCATCAGTTTCAAAAGTGATCTGCTATGTGGCATGGAGGGATGATGCTTATGCAGTATTTTGAACCCCAGCCAATGTATTTAGAACTAAAGAACATCTCATTTTATATGTTATTTGGGGCTCATTCTTGACAAGTTTGGCTTTACATACTTACAAAGCCTAGAACAAGTTACATTAAGTACCTTAGAATTTGGAAGTTTGCAGTCGCACCATCTTCCATCTATCATGTGGCGCTGAGACATGACTTTCACCTGGGTTTCATAGTCAGTGAATCTTACAAAACCAAACCCTTTTGAGTGGCCAGTTTTGATGTCCTTCTTAACCTGGAGTTAAGAGAAGAGATTACATGGCTAGAACAACAATCACAATGTGCTGGCATTTATGTACTACTTCTATTCAGCTATGTTATAGACTGAATTTCAAAATGTAGTGCAAAAAAAGTTCAGAATATTTCACCTTGCTTTAAGCATCTTCCCTTGCTAACAGCTATAGCATAGAAACCAGGCTTCTCTGTCCCTCCTCAACCATCATTCTATCTGGCTGCAGCCGAGGCATACAATGGAGGAGGGGCCACTCCATCAGCTCTACTGAGAAACCAGCTCAGCTTGGCTCTTTCTGGACTGTTTCCATTCAAGCTGATCATTATATGAGCTTTGTAACTTTAAGAAGTGGTGTCCAAATTGGCTTGTTTGCTTCTTCCTTCCTCATTCATTGTTAGCTTGAGTCATGCATTTTATATTGTAAGCCTGAGGGAAAGAACTGGCTTGTTTGTTACAAATCTTATGTAAGCTGCTCTGAGCTTCTCTGGCTGAAGAACAGGGTATAAAAAGCTTCAAATAATGTTATTTTGACAATCAAAAAGTTAAATCAGTGTGTGCAAGTTTCAATTCAAGCAGAAAGGTTAAATTCGTGGCATATGCCATTTAACTTTCAAGGTTCACACACAAACACATGACTCAGATTTAGATGAACAAGTCCAGCTACCAGCATGAAAAATGTCACAACTATTCATTTTTACCACATTAAATTCAACTGACAAAACTCAATACCAAAACAGACTAAAACCAGGAATTGAGCCAAATTCTGAAACACATATAGCTGCTCAGTACCACTGGCTTGCCTCGGAGGACAACACAAAGGAAATCAGATGTCTGAGGATAGGAAATGGCACCTCAACAATTCTGTTACCAAAAAGAAATTTCTGTTCTCGATACCAGGTTGGGATACAATTTTTATTGTGAAATTCTTTTGAAAGTCATTTTGAGAACCTCTCAGCAATATAAAGTGGTATATAAGTAAGGTAAAGGTAAAGGGACCCCTGACCATTAGGTCCAGTCATGACCGACTCTGGGGTTGCGGCGCTCATCTCACTCTATAGGCCGAGGGAGCCAAGCCGCTTCTGACAAACCAGAGCAGCACATGGAAAAGCCGTTTACCTTCCCACCGGAGCAGTACCTATTTATCTACTTGCACTTTGACATGCTTTCAAACTGCTAGGTTGGCAGGAGCAGCTCACCCCATTGCGGGGATTCGAACCGCCGACTTTCTGATCAGCAAGTCCTAGGCTCTGTGGTTTAACCCACAGCGCCACCCACGTCCCTTATATAAGTATTCGAAAGTAAATAAATGTACAGCAGCTTTATATATTTGAATTAGGCAGTCCAGTGGGAAGCGCTTCAGAGAACTTAGGCAGGGTGGCAAGTTGTAAGGGGAAAAAATAGGAAATCGCTAACTTCACCATTTTTGCAGTGGGTCAAGCAATATCTAGTAGCACTTCTATGGTTTAACTAATTGTGGCTCATGAAAGGGTAGTTACTCCTGTTGCCAGCCTAAATGCAAACAGAAGGAACAGACTGAGTTCTCTTCCTCCTCTCCATAACCAGAAGCAATGGTCAGTTGTTTTACTTAGGGACAACACAGCATTCATGATAGGGAGTACAACAGTTACCCTAAAGTCCAGGGACATAACTGTTTATTGAAAAGAAAGCTAGATACCTGCACCATAAGAACTTCTCCGAATGTGCTGAAGTACTCCTTCAGGTCTTGCTCAGTTGTTTTCCACGGAAGACCCAGAACTATCAAATCTGATGTTTTCTGTACTGCTCTTTTCACCTTAACAGCTGATGAGGCATCTGCCTCATCCATTTTCCTCTTGTTGTCTAAAGATAGATGTGTCCATCAAACAGTCAGCACTTTTAAAAATAACTAAACAAATAATCCCATTAGTTGCAATGAAACATTTTAGTGGAGATGATCATTCTAGAGCTACATGCAGCCCAATCCTAAATTTACTCAGAAGCCAACTCATTAATGTTCAATGTAGGGCTTTTAAAAGGTTTCCCTTAAAATGCATGTACTCAGTACTACTGTGTTCAATGAGGCTAATTCCCTAATAACCGTGTTTAGGATTCCAGCCTTAAAGTGTATTTGCTATAAATACACCAATTGCTCCCACTTGTATTTTGGGGAAAGTCTTATTTTAATCCTTTTCACCTTTAAAACTGCTGCCACTGGCAACTTGTATCTAAAAGAATAAAAAAAAGGTATACTACTACTACTACTATTATTATTATTATTATTAATTTATATACTGCCCTTCAACTAAAGATCTCAGGGCAGTTCACAAGAAAAAATAATAATCTAGTTGATCAATGTGGGGTATAAAAAATAAAAGTTGCTCAATTGCCTAACAATTTGAGCAATTTATAGGGATTTGGAATTCTAAGGCAAACTAAAAGAAAAGAAATTATCCATATATAGGTTTTCATTTTCAAAAATTATCCATCATTCTTTCTTTTTTAAAAGCAAAAAATAGCACATACAAACAAAGCACACACCTTTGGGATAGTTAACAACATACACCAGATTTCCCCAGCCATTATCTGGTGCATGCAGAATTCCTTCCACTAATCGGACCCCTCTCATACACTGAGACACGGGGTTCCTGTAACGCAGGCCACAAGCTCCTGGAAACTGAGCAGTAACTGTGGAAAGCAAGACAGTCCCATCATCCTCTGAAGGAATCTCAATGGGTTCCTCATTTTCATCTTCGGTAACCCGAATGTATTCTGACATTTCTGCCGTGGTGTTGCTAAAGAATAAAAAAAGAGAAAAGCGAATAATATCTAGTTTTTAAAAACTGTAATCGTTGGTAGTAACAAGTTACTGTAGAAGTGGTTTACTATATGTACGGCACTCTGAAGTAAAAACAGTTGTCCCTCCGTTTTCCTAATTAAGTAGTACAGATAAACAATTATCATAGTTCTATGGTAGAGCACATGCTTCACAAGCAGAAGGTCTCAGGTCAATCTGTAGAATCTCCAGCCAAAACAACATGGTATTAGGTTATGTAATAGACCTCTACCTGAAAGACTAGAGAGTCACTATCACTCAAAGTAGATAATATTGAGCTAGATTTACAAATAGTCTGGACTAGTGTTGGAGAGCTTCCCGTGTTCTTATACATATTATGGGTTATAGCTACCAAAGTCTTACTCAGAGTAGACACACTGAAATTAATGGATGAGAGTTGGTTGTGTTCACTGACTGAATCGGCCAGTTCTTATTTTATTCTGCTTTTCAGATGAAAATTGTATCCAAAATCAGTTCATATCAATCAATAATCTTCAGGTCCTGACCTCATCTTACAAATGTAAATAAAATTAAAAACAAACAAGAGAAACATATGGAAATGAGCTAAGCAAAGCCAAAGGAAAATGGCAAGTGGTACAAGCATTTATATCTGGTTTAAGAGGTTCAACTACCTTGTGGCCTCTGCTGCTCTGGCTGGCAGCATTAAGTCAGACAGCACTTTCTCTGACTTCAGCAGTCCCAAGGCAAGTGGCAGTTGGAGAAGAGTTCCTCCTGCCAGGGAGGGGGGAGCTCTCTGTAATTATTATGTCTCCAGCCGATGGCTGGGGGCCAGAATGACCTTATATGTTTTCTCTAAAGTACAGAATATACAACCTTTCATTGGCCCTTACTCCTCTGTCTAATGGTAGAACTCAGAATGTGCTTCCCCTTTCAAATAATGTTAGAAAACAAGGATGAATATCCCTAGAAAAGTTATTTTTGGAATCACAGAATTGTCGAATTGGAAGGGATCCTAAGGGTCATCTAGTCCAACCCCCTGCAATGCAGGAATCTTGACTAAAGCAGCCATGACAGATGGCCATCCAACCTCTATTTAAAAATCTCAATGAAGGTGTCTACCACCTTCCAAGAAAGTCCATAGCTCTTACTGTTAGAAAGTTCTCCTTTCTTGTAACCTGAAGCATGTAGAATACTTTGAGATCATTGGAGGAAATGCACCTTTATTTGTTTCAAGTTGTGCATTTTAGTGTTGAATTGTTGTATATTTAATTGCTTATAAGCCTAGAATAGCTCTGTTAGTAGAGAATAGGACTCTTCATCTCAGGGTCATGGGTTCGAGCCTCACACTGGGCAAAAGATTTCTGGACTGCAGGGGGTGGGGCTAGATGACCCTAGTGGTCCCTTCCGACTCAATAATTCTATGATGTTATGAATCCCACCCTGGGATGTACAGATGGGGTGGGTTACTCTTCTAAAAAGTAAAAGAAATCCAGCCAGATGGGCAGGGTATATAAAATTTGTTGTTGTTGTAAAATAGTAACCTATAAATTAGTATTATAAAATAGTAACCTATAAATTAAGGTAATAAGTAACCACCACCACAAATAGTAGGAGTTAGAAATACATTATTATCAACACACCTAACAAAATTTTAATTCAAATAAAAAAAATTACATTAGTAACATCAAAATTTAAAATATTTAAGAACACATTTGATGCATCGATACACCTCTTTAACCTGGCCCACCCTATTCTCTTGATTGCAGTGTATTTTAAAATTTTTGATATTTTATTTTTAAGTTACTGTAACCCATCCTGAGACCTCATTGTGTAGCATGAATAAGAATCAGAAATCATCATCATAATCATCAACAACATATTAACATTTACTTCGGAGTAAACACACAGAACGTTCAGCTGTAAAGACATGATAAATATAATACTTGCCCTTATTAAGAAAGACCATGCTTAAGAATTAATAATAAACGCAATGTTTACAATAATGAAGACTGTGCTTGCCATTATTAATAAACATAACGCTTTCTATTAATACTAAATATAAATCTTACCAACAATTTTAATGCTTACCACTACCAAGAATAAAAATCACGTTTGCTATTATTAATACTGTAAAGAATAAATAATAAAGGATCGACTCCCCTCCCCCCCGCCCCAGCGCGTTTAACAGGTCAACCCTCTGCGCTCGTTTACTCTGAGGTAAGCTGCGCTGCAGCCAACGGCCTTTATACTGTACACACAAATATATATATATATATATATACTGTATACTTATATATGTGCTTCGAATCGGACGTCCTGAGCCTAGTTTATTCCACAAAAGATACACCGTGTGCGACAACGGCCCTCCACGTTTCACCGCTCACTTTCCCGGCCTTCCCGCGCTAGGCCCGAAAGCCACCCTGAGGCCTCCGCTAGGCCGCCTCGGCCCACCCCCAAGCCAGCTCGGGAGCGGGGCCCAGGTTTCCTCTCAGCCTCGGATCCCGCTCGCTTACCGTCGGCGCGAGGCCTGAGGGAACAACCGACCAAAGGACGACGACGGTGAGTTCCAGCCCCTGCGTGTGCCGCGCGAGGAAGAGGAGGGGGACTCTCGGGCCTCCGCGGTTTTTCCCTCCCTGCCGACAAAATGGCGGCGCCCTCTTTCCCCTCAAAAGCAAGAGGCTCGAAGGCGCGTTCTCGGAACGGTCCATCCTGACCGCGCGGGGAGGCGACAGGGGTCTTTTCGAGACGCTGAGGAGTTATCCGCTCCGAAGAGAACTCCGTAGACTGCAAATAGGGCTTCCGGTTTGGTGTTGCCTTCCCAGCCCGTGCTTATCGGGGGTGGCCCCGTTTAAATAATTTGTTTGAGAGGAAAGTTGATGGCACTCCCCTTCCTCTAGCCATAAACCGAGAATGGTATGGTCCACTCGGCTGCGTACTGCGCTTGCGCTCGCAGAAATGGTGAGCTAAGGAAGGGGAGGAGGAAAAAGGAGACCCGAGCAAAGCTCGCTGGGTAGCGGTGGTTGGTAGTGTGCGTGCGCAGCAGTTTGTCGGTGAAGCGTGAGAGAAAACCGTTGCACAATATGGCGGGGACGGGGGGGGGGGTGGAGGGAAAAGTTCCATTTAAGCGCATGCGCAATAGCCGAAGCGTTTCTGTGAGGTAATTAACAAAAAAATGTTAATTTTTGTTGTCCAAACTTGATTTTGAGGTATTTTGTTCTGTTTCTCCTCAGCACCAGACAGGCCAGGAAACCTCTTTCAAAACCCTTGAGGAGTTTACACATATGGAGACGTTACTTATATGTATTAGTTGCCTCATAAACTTGATACAGGCAATTAACAGATTCAGACATAATTGATACAGTAACATACAACCTTTAAAATAACTGCATTTCCATTTATTTGTTCATTCTTCCAAAGCAGCAAATAATAAACCTCCTTCTCCAGTGATCCATCAATTAAAACAGCTCCTTTACAGTACTTGCAAGTTATATCTGGCAGGGACAGTACTGTTGGGTAGTCTTTCAGAACAAAAATCCCAGAAAGCATTTTTCACCCAACAACAATGGATTCTAATGCATCCTGTCTGCTATACATTTTTTTGGGGGGGGGGAGTGCACCCTCTGGATTCTATGGTTTTACATATTGGGACATAATATCAACCACCTGTTCCTTAGCAGCTCTTAAAATAGGTAAATATAACCTCAAATAAACAACACCACATGACCTATTACACTGGGTCATGATGTATTTAACAACAAAAAAAAGCCAAAATGGAGAAGTCATGTGTGAAGAACTAAGTTATATTCAGTAGCTTGCAGAACCGCCTTTAGCAGCAATAACTTGAAGCAACTGTTTTCTGTGTGACTTTAAAACTATATATATATATTTTATTTACTTAAGAAAATATTTAATTTTTTTAAAAAAGTCATACAGAAAACAATTACTTCAAATTATCACTGCTAAAGGTGGTTATACAAGCTACTGAATGTAATGTTATAAGAATTTATATATATTATATATATAAAATAAATGTTCATAAATGTACCAAGCAAACACATACAAATATGTAAACCACATGTCTGAAACCCACAGAAAAGTCCTGAAACCATTTTCTCTCTCCCAAAATTACCTCAAATATTTCTCTGCAAGGAAATGAGAAACCTCCCCCATTGTCTCTGTCTTCACAAATTCTGTCTTAAGGGCACATTTAAGGTGTGAATAGGATGAGCCTATGACCTGGCTCAGGAATTAAGTATCATTACAAAAGAATGGCCAGACTCCCCAGGTAATCCAATCAAGTGACAGGTAACCTGGCAGACAGGGTAAAAACAATGCACTCAGATTTCTGTTGTAGACCGCCTTTGCTGTGATGTAGGTATGATGTGTCTGGGGGGGTGGTCTTGGGCTACACCCCTTCCAGGATGCATGTATGATATATGGAGGAGTGGTCTAGAGCTCCAGGGCAGGGAATTTCAAAATGGCTATTTAAGGGCAAGCACACATAATAATAATATTTTTTTATTTATTCCCCCAATTTCCAGTTCAGAAAACCGGGCTCAGGGTGGCGAACAACAAATTTAAAACACTTAATTGTGATACAACAAAAAAAAGCATAAAATACAGTATAAAAGCGTGAATAACAATAAACTCAAAGTTCAAAAAACCTTTTAGGGGGAAATCCATCCATTAAACATTAGATGATCACTAGGGCTAGCTGGCTAAATTAGTCCTATTTGGGCCAGCGAGGAGGCCAGGGGAGAATTAGCTGTGGGATCCCAGAGCAAGTAATCTTCATAAAAAGAGGAGGGAGAGGGAAGGAAGGGGTTAGGATCAGGCTAAATTCAAATTGAAAGCCAGGCGAAATAGCTCTGTCTTACAGGCCCTGCAGAAGGAGGTTAAATCCTGCAGGGCCCTGGTCTCATGGTTTGGTCGTCCTCCTCTCTCCTGCGTACGGGGGAGCACCCTGTTGCAACAGTTAATGAAGATCAGGCTTACTAGCTGCTTTGCTTCTCAATATTCTCTGGTTGGTCTCTGGTTGTTTTCTCCTACCGAAAGAGAACCTACAAAACGACTCTATATGGGCTCTTGGGTACCTCATAAGGGAAAAGGAGCAGTTTTTTTACCTATAACGTTAACTTAGTGCTTCACACATGGTATGGCTTTTATCAGACTTTCACCTCGTTGTGTGGAGGTATTTTGGCCCACTCTTCTTTACAAAGTCACTTCAGTTCATTGATGTTTGCTCATATGAAATGTGTGTTTTCAGTGCTAGCAAAATTGGGATCCTCTCTAACTATATTCCTATGAAGAGGAGACCCAAGGGTCCCAGCATGCCCAAAAGCCCTTCCTCCTCTTTGTAATATAAGGTATTACTCAGAGGTGAATGGAAAGCAATAATAAAATGCTCAAAGGAGCCCCTTTCTTTATAATTGGGTTCCAAAGCTCTGAAGTCTTTGCTTTGAAAAGGGGGAAGGGGAGGGGGTGAGCTGTCCATGTAGAAGCTCAAATTGTAAATTTTTGCAAAACTTTGTTGCCACTGTGGGTGAGTTTCACACATACACATCAAATCTTGTTCTTAAAAGATTCCTCCCCCTTTTTCCACATCATGTGACAGAAGCAACCTCCGTCTAAGGAAGATGGTAGTGAGAGGACCTGGCAGTGAGAGGACCGCTTTAGAGAGCCAAATAACAACACTTCAGAAGAAAAGGTTTCACACAGGTCACACTTCTTGCCAAAAGGTAGCAGGCACTCTGTGCATTTTAGCTTCTTCTAGTCTGTACTTAAATAATAACAACAGAAAGGGGGGGGGGGACTCAACAATAGTTTGGCTTCAAATGTGCACACACACTGCATGGCAATTCATGTTTTGTACTGATTTTAAACTTTAGAGGGGGGTTTTATTAACAGTTTTAATACTACAAAACAATCCCCTCCTCATCTCAAAGAGGAGACAAAGGGGGAGTCTAAAGTAAAATAAAAGACAAACCAAAAACATGAATCTGTCAGCACAGCCCATCAGAAAGTATCAATATTCAAGTCCACAATGTTTAACACAGCCAGAAAGTTGTGCATATTGCTAGTTGTTTTCGTGTTTGCTTGCTTGCATAAACAATAAAAGAGTGTCAGTCTGCTACGAAAGAATCTTTATATTTTGTTCCTTAGCCAGGCATAGTTTATATGTTAATTTTTCCATGAAAGCGACTTGCAAAACTAGCATAGCACTCTTTAGGTCCTTCCAATATTGAGCAACAACTAGCTGGGCAGCTCCAAGAGGATCAGTTGTTAAAGGTTTGAAATGCAAACCCCCACTGTTCTTTTGAAAAATGTTTTCTGCATTCCTCGAGATTCCAGTTGCTGCTGTCAAGTCATTTTAATAATTTCTGCAAAAGCTACAATCTAAAACTGACACTTTTTCACAAGTCCATACTGAGCTCGACTTTTGAGTTCTTTTAACAATTGTTCCACATTAGCATTGCTTTCTTCTTCGCCATATCCTCAACCTACCATTTTAAGCTGAGCAATTAAGACAAACTAATTCTCTCAGCCTAACAGCACTGCTGGGCACACAAATATGTGCTTTGCCAGCTTACCCTCATGCCATGGAGAGAGTTCAGAGAGTGTCCCCTGGGTATAAACAAAAGCAGCACTTGTAGCCGCCAAGTGTGCTCAGCTAAGTACACCCGTCAGCACAGTACATAACACACTTCAATAATGATTTGTTGCCCCAGGTTAAATGTGCCCGTGTGGTCAAGCAAGCACAGTGTAATGATTAGCCACCAGCCCTCATAAAGGTTACATTGGAGTGTCAAAGGAGCTCTAATGGGCATCTTAATATAGCTTTGCGCTAAAGAGGTTAGCTACAGGTAACTTCCTAGTGTGGCATATTTGACTCTTCAGTTCACTCTTAGTTTTTCTCACATATGAAGTAGAGATAACACCTTTCCAAGGGTTCACTAATAAAATGATTATAGCCTGTGGAATGGGGCTTCTAGGATGTAGCTCTGCTCACTTTTAACATCTAGCCTCTCCTGCGCTGCACTCTTTTCTGTGGCTGACCTACCCAAAATCCAAAAAGGAACTACCAACATTCAAAGTTCCTCCTCCTTTCTCTAGTTAGTTAGTTAAAGCAGTTTACATAAAATTTTAGATAAACATTAAGATTACCTACTGCAGACTAAGTGAATGACTCAGGCGGTGCAGGGGTCGGTGTGCATGAGGTGTGGAGGCAGAAAACAGTCCTCACTAGGACTGCTGCAAGCACACACTCTTCTTCAGCCATTAGCTCCCTCAGCACAGCAAGATATAAGCAGCTAAAAGATCCCAGTCTAAATAACATATAAGAGCTGGCAATTACCACAGCAGGAGAGCAACAGCAGAGCTGCTCCAGCGCAGCTGTTTTCTCATTAAAAGCAGAAAGTCATTTGCACTCAGGGACTCACAGCAGCAGCAACATCAACAAAGAGGCCAGGAATAAATGTCTCTTAGTTTTCCCTGTAAAGGGGGAAGGGTGAGTGTTGTCCAAGTGGTAAACAATGATTATTAGAGACTTTTTAAATGGTCTGGATGGAGCCCTGTGTTGTTGTTGGGTTTTCTCTCATACAAGAGGCTGTTCTTTGTGCTGGAACACTGATGAGCCACCAAGGAACCTTGGTTCCTTGTCCACACAACATTGTAAAATGTTTGCAGGTGAATGGCAATGGCTGCAATCCCCCTTTTGACCTAGCCATACCTGCCCCACCCCAGATGTCATGTATGATATCAGGTGTAGGGTAGGTGGGTGTGGCTTGGCCAAAATGGCCTTGGTGGGTCAAATGAGGAGACCTTGTGGACCTAGTTAAGACCACAAGCCAGATGTCCCCCACCCTGTTATACTAGTTTCCCAACTTTGTTATAGTCATTACTGTGGGTGTTCAGTCCTAATCCCCACTACCTATCCAAGAACAACACTACAGTGAAGGCTTGGCTGGAATCTGCAGTGGGGTGAGTTCCATAAGTTACCCAGACAGCAAGGGTTTGTGGCAGCATCTTCTCTCTCCCTTCAACTTCAACTGCCGACCAGAAATGCCCAGAAGCAGTTCATCAGGTGGATGTCCTGAGCCCCAACATATCTAGAGTTATGGTAAGTCCTGATAGTGCACACAGTCCCAAGGGCAACACTAGAGAGTAGTCAGACTGTCCAAATGATAAAATACCAAAATACCAGTCCAGGTCCAATACAATGAGCAAGGTTCAAAGTCAATCCGCAGCGTCAGATTTCCACCTCTACAGAAGATCCAGGGCTGGAACACCTGGGGTCAGTCCTGAAGTCCAGTGGAGTTCCCAAAACAGCCAAGTCGTGGTACATCAACGGAGAAAGTTGAGCAGACACAGAGTCTCTGGCTTGTTTCCAATCTTGATTGCTGCAAATGAGTTTGCTCCAGCTGAGCAGCTCTGCCTTGCCACTTGATGAAGCATGTGATCCTCACCTGCCCTGAGCTTAATCCAGCTGAGTGACCACTAAACTTCTTCAGACCTAACAGGCCCCATGATCTCTACTTGGTCCACTAGTGAGCTGTACTGTGTTCTCTTGCCTACATCAGTCTGCTGGAGTGCATTTCCACTGTTCCTGATGTCTCAGAGACCCCTATGTTTGCAGAGTTGGGAGCACCTCTACTTCTGGTGATGTTCCTCTCTCCCCTGAACTGTCAGTTGTTGCTGCTGCAACATCTTCTGATGCCCTGTGAGTACCTCCTAAGTCCCCAACCTGCCCTTCCACATCTTTAGCTTGTCTCAATGTGTACCAATCATGGCTACACCCTTCGCCAGGATCCTCTTCCCCTTCCTCAGTGTCCTGTCAGTTCATGACAGTGGCCCTGAGCATAGTCAGTAGGTGGGGAGTGATTGTATATGGATGAAGATGGTCCCCTAACAGTCCTTTAGTACAGGCCATGGACAAAATCTGGCTTGGGTGAAGAGTCTTTGTGTCACCAAGCACAACACAGCTGTCAGTACACAAGCCCCACACTGGCAAGTCTATGCAAACCCTGAAATGTCTGGAAACATCATCAGCTCAACATCAGGAGATCAAACAAGGGTCACACAGAAATGTTTACACTCATCATGTTCATAAACATTGACATAGCCCCAGTATGATACTACCAGAATTAAACATCTCCTTTGAAATGACAAGTTATAGAGTTCTTCTGAACACATACAGAGTATCTTTCGCTCTCCTCTCAGCGCCCTCCACATCTGGGGGCTACAAGTGTAGAACTTCCAGAGGAGGTGACCAGGTAGCCAAAGAATGACCCCTAACATCTCTTCTTTTTAGAAATGAGTTAGCATGCGCACCTCATCCCTAGAAGACACTCAAGACCACTGAGTTTAAAAATAAAACCAAAGTACACGATAGCCATGAGAGCTACATCTTTTTAAAAATGCCCAACAGCCATGGAGAGTGTTCATTGCTGCTATAAAGTCATTTTGCCTGAGAACCTTGTCTATAATTCTTCCCAAGTTAGATAGTCCTGGATAGTAAACAGTTATGTTCCCCACCATTCCCCATGCACCTATTGTGAGGAGGTAATTTCAGCTTCTTCCTTAGAATCAAATTACAGAAGCCATTACCTTCTCTTTTTTTATGTGGGATGATGGTCCACAGTCTCTTTGAGGAGCAGAGTTGTTGCGTCTAACCCCCATCTCTCCCCAAGCCAAGCATAAAAGAGCTGTAAGGAGACAGCATGCATACAAAGAGCAAGCCTGACCCCTGCAGGGCAATTGTCGATAATATGATTTGCCAGGACTGCAGATAAGCTATTCACACAGTAAGAGAAATGTTTCCTCAATGCAGAAAGAGGAATCAGCATTTGGGGGACTTCTTTCAGGATGACTGTCAGCACAAGGCAACTGCTGGCTGCCTTCTATCTCTTTGCAGCTTGTAGGTCTGAGATATACCGGCTCTGAACATGGATGTTTCATTTGGCTATCATAGCAGGCAGCACTAGCCTCAGAGGTTGACATTGTTGGGTACCTGTTGAAGCCCATACCTAACCAAGTGGCCCTACTGCTGACCCCCGATCTACCTTTCTCTGTGTTTGCTGCCCTCTCCAAATATGCAAGCAAAAGCATCTAGAAAGCAGTTCTTGCCTTGGCCTCTTCTTAGGGCAGTGGTGCTGATTTAGAATCAACCCAGAGAGAGAAGGCAAATGAATGGGCAGTGGTGACAGTGGCAAAGAGGTGGGCCTGTTGTTGTTGTTTAGTCGTTTTCGTGACCCCATGGACCAGAGCACGCCAGGCACTCCTGTCTTCCACTGCCTCCCGCAGTTTGGTCAGACTCATGTTTGTAGCTTCAAGAACACTGTCCAGCCATCTCGTCCTCTGTCGTCCCCTTCTTCTTGTGCCCTCAATCTTTCCCAACATCAGGGTCTTTTCCAGGGAGTCTTCTCTTCTCATGAGGTGGCCAAAGTATTGGAGCCTCAGCTTCATGATCTGTCCTTCCAGTGAGCACTCAGGGCTGATTTCCTTAAGAATGGATACGTTTGATCTTCTTGCAGTCCATGGGACTCTCAAGAGTCTCCTCCAGCACCATAATTCAAAAGCATCAATTCTTCGGCGATCAGCCTTCTTTATGGTCCAGCTCTCACTTCCATACATCACTACTGGGAAAACCATGGCATTAACTATATGGACCTTTGTTGGCAAGGTGATGTCTCTGCTTTTTAAGATGCTGTTGAGGTGGGCCTACCAAGAGCATTTTGGCCAATCCCATCACCACCCCTGAATTGGATGTGGAGGAGAAGCATAGGAGGCAAGAAAGTGAAAGGGGCAAAAAGTATAGGACCAATGGGTGGTATCCAGTGTTAGACCTACTCAGAGTAGACTCGTTGAAATTAATGGGTAGGTCTAACTTAAGTTCATTAATTACAATTGGTCTACTCTGAGGAAGATTTCATTGGATATAACCCCATGGCAATCAGGATGTTGGAGACAGTGAAACAAATGACGTTTTGGGTGGAAGATGAACTGCAGCAGCATGGAAACAGTGCTGCATGTGATAATTACAGGGCAGAACAGAAAATG